AATTTTTAGGTTTCCCTTTTGAAACGAGGATGAATCACCTTAAACAAGATGAAACTAAAACAATGATACTAATTACCTTTCATACAAACAGCTTCTCCAGACCGAGTCCTCAAACATTCCGAACCTTGATCGCAAGACGTGGATCCACAGACCTCAGTCATGACATGGATCCACAGACCTCAGTCAAGACATGGATCCACAGACCTCAGTCAAGACATGGATCCACAGACCTCTGTCAAGACATAGATCCACAGACCTCAGTCAAGACATGGATCAACAGACCTCAGTCAAGACATGGATCCACAGACCTCAGTCAAGACATGGATCCACAGACCTCAGTCAAGACATGGATCCACAGACCTCAGTCAAGACATGGATTACAGACCTCAGTCAAGACATGGATCCACGGACCTCAGTCAAGACATGGATCCACGGACCTCAGTCAAGACATGGATCCACAGACCTCAGTCAAGACATGGATCCACAGACCTCAGTCAAGACATGGATCCACAGACCTCAGTCAAGACATGGATCCACAGACCTCAGTCAAGACATGGATCCACAGACCTCAGTCAAGATATTGATCCACAGACCTCAGTCAAGACATGGATCCACAGACCTCAGTCAAGACATTGATCCACGGACCTCAGTCAAGAAATGGATCCACAGACCTCAGTCATGACATGGATCCACAGACCTCAGTCAAGATAATGATCCACAGACCTCAGTCAAGACATGGATCCACAGACCTCAGTCAAGACATTGATCCACAGATCTCAGTCAAGACATGGATCCACAGACCTCAGTCAAGACATGGATCCACAGACCTCAGTCAAGACATGGATCCACAGACCTCAGTCAAGACATGGATCCACAGACCTCAGTCAAGACCTGCAAGCAGAAGTAGCTTCGAAATGATTTGTGATTGTTGCATACTGGAGTTCAAAACATCAGGCAGAAAGCCCACAGAAACAATATAATACGGTTAAAATCATTGTTTAAACAATAAATTACACTGCCATTTAACAAATTACATAATACTATTAGCAAAACAACGTATTCATACATTAAGTATTAAAAGTGTAAAAACAGCTGTTGAACGCTTCATGTGTATCTATCGTCTGTATGCAAAGTCGAAAAATCCATCGCAATTACAAGAAACAGATATATTAATATGGAAACCACTTGCAGATAACATTTTATAGTATATCAAATGTAATGATAATGCGTGTCTATTGCAATACTTTCTATTCTAATGTCGGATGTCTAATACCTAATGTCCAATTCAAGCTGTTTTATTTGTTAAAAAGCGTAGATGTACCATCCATTGTGCAGTAAATGCAACATATCAGTCTTGGGAAATAAAATTAAAAAATATAAAATTTAAAACGTCCTACGTCCGAAGTATTACCAGCAAACACAACCCACCCAACACCCAACCAGTAGATGAAGGACATCAAAATAGCTACAATTTCGCTGCTTTACAAAACGATACTGCTGAAAAGCATTCGTTACCAACTCGTTTCATTCTGGGACCAGACAAATGTTTTCTGGAAGGTTACGAATGGCTGAAAATACATCTGGTGATCGGTGGTAGTTTTTTAGTCTGATCACGTATAAGTGATCTATTAGATTTGATTGAACTATTTACAGCCTATAAACTCGCCCTCGTCCTGTCTCGCATGTCGGTTAGTGTTCTAAGGCTTTTCTCAGGCTCCTGTCAAACAAATGACTTGCGTAAGAGGACAAAATGTTCGAAAGACAAGATGGCACACTTCAATTTGATTTGATGTGCGTCTATATTTCAGTTGCTTTAGCAACCGCCTCTTTGCTGTACACATTTATCACAGAGGGTGTCAGGTATTCAGAAAGTCAGTCAGACCTTTACCAAAGTGCTTACTAAGCAGGTTGTCCAAGAGGTTGATCATGATATGTGGACATTTAAAGGACAAGTGAGTGAGTATGGTTTTACGCCGCTTTTAGCAATATTCCAGCAATATCACGGCGGGGGACACCAGAAATGGGCTTCACACATTGTACCCATGTCGGGAATCGAACCCGGGTCTTCGGCGTGACGATCGAACGCTTTAAAGGACAAACATAGTCGTCAGGGAAAATGTACTTCATAATTCGAGCAATAAGACTGAACACATACAGTCACCTGCTGTGTCGCGTTTTTAGTTCCCTTTTAATGATGGTCTCATGTGAGAAAATAACATTATTTCCCAGTCATGTATTCAAATGGACATTAATCAGTTGAACAGCCGTCGGGGGGGATTACCATTGTACAACAGTCACACCAAGAATCAGTGGTAAACAAACCCGTGAACATCCAGATTAGATTAGGCCTTCAGCAATCCATTCTTGTCGTAAAAGGCGACTAACGGGATCGGGTGGTCAGGCTTGCTGTTTTGGTTCATGCATGTCATCGTATCCTAATTGCTTGGATCTATGCTCATTATATTAACCTGGATTGTCTGGTCCAGACTCGATTATTTACAGACTGCCGTCATATAGATGGAATATTGCAGAGTGCGGCATTAAACAACAAACAAACAGTGGTCAACAAGAGTCGCCCTGGATCTTTTAATATAAGTAAAACAGTGTTTTACAATGTACTGTGTCTCTTATTAAACCCCTAACTAACAATGTGCCCATGTGCATCCTCTGAGTTCGCAGTTGCTCATGAGGGAGATTTTAATAAGATAAGATCAAATAAAAGCGACAAACCCTTTCCATAATCATAAGGAGCATGTGTTAAAGACTCACTTCTAAATATTGATGACACCAGGACCCACTTGCACAAAGCGATCGTAGCGCTAAGATGATCGTAACTCCCATACTTTAACATAGACTTACAATAGTCTTAGCGCTAAGATCGCTTTGTGCAAGTGGGGCCAGGTGTCTGCGAAAAGGAGATCGTAAGCTACCCTCCGCCGACACCCATCACAAACATGCGGAAAGGCTAGACAATTGTTCACCTGAAAAAAACCACCGGAACATATCGTACACGTCAAAATAGGGAATTGAACATCATTGTGGCCACTGATGTGTGAAAGTTTGGAAATGTCATACTGTAACATATGTCTACCATCTAACGTTTAGAAATCTGTATTAAGGCCTTTGGCTTTTGATCAAGTGTTGTAATAACGAACTGCATTGGACATCATTTCTGTAATTGATGGGTCAAATTCAGAAATGTCGTCATCATGTCCATAATAAAACCTTGTGTAATACAAACTTTACTGAGGCCTTTGATGTTGTAACTTTGATCATACAACGTTTGATCATGAGTCGTATGACGCTCTTTGAAATCTTCGTCGAAAGAGTTGTGTAATGTAGACAGCAATGAGTGGAGCTGCTGGAATATTGTTTCACAAAAAGAAAAGTCTCCATCTTGTCATACAGTCATCTTGGTAGCCTTTTGTCACTCTGAATCTGTAATCATAGATCGCTTTGGTAGATTGGTTAACATTGCTTTGATTCGTGTGTGTGACCTTTGTTTGCTTCGTGTGTGATGGGGACGATGATGTTCTTGACAGGGAACCGGCGTAGCCAGAACTTACAGAAAACATACTGTGCACCATTATCGGTATCACAGTGGTGAAAACAAACTAGTCTTTCCCGAAGCATTTTCAGGCCAGTGAGCAAATCGCATAGTGAAAAGGCGGCCCTTCTAGGTCTGGAAAAGGCAATTTGAGTCCTGCCTTTGATGACTCGGTAAAAGTAATGAGATTTTGCTGGGTTGGAAAATTAAAAAGGAATCTTCGTATATCAATGTTCTATTTTTTTCAATGCATGGAATACACATTCTCCACTGACTGCGACAAGAAACGTAATCTATCAGAAAACTGTAAGGTACATTCTCGCGAACTCGATCTTTGGAAACAAGCTTAATTTGCGAGATCGCGGTATTTGGGCAAGATCTTTTACGCTCGTGCTGTATTGTACATAGAACCTTTATCAGATTAAGTCGAAAAAGCAAGAAAGCGATATATGAACATGGTGTGTAATCGCAATCGCGACTTGTCAAATCAAGCCACGAAAACGCGAGAATGTGACATTTTATTTTCTCGCATTTTAGACGCTTTGTAAAATCGTAAGGTCAACGCACATGAGCACTCTTGTAGTTCTGTGGACATTCTTCTTTCATGGTCTTCATTTTTCAAATTATGACTAAGCTTGTATGTACAAGTAATTTCGGCAAAACATACAACTAACTTACCTTTCCGTTATTAGTCTTAGCCATGAAAAGTCTTCTCATGTTAAATTAAAAACCCTCAACAGGCTCAATTTAATTTAACGAAAAAAATCGTGTTAATGTATTAATGTCAAATGATAATGGAAACTTTTCGGGGTCTGGAATCTGGACAAAAACATCACCGTCAGTTTTACATTAAAGCGTCAGGAAGTTATCAGACGGTTAATACTTGTTATACACTTATACTAGTAGAATTACTATATACTATTACTTCACACTAAGGAAGTGTCTTAGTCTATAAGAGGTTACATACCATTGTGATAACTTCGTATTAGTCATATACAGTAGGTACTGTACAGGGATCGTCACGAAGAGAAACAACTCTTATTCTTCATTTTGCCTCAATAGAACCGACTCATTTATATTGCTAAAATTGCGAAAGAAGCTGTAAATTCTGTAGCAGATCCAAATAATTTTCTTTGACTACAACAGTTGAAGTTTAGAATTCGTTTTCTTGGCACATAGCACATGAACCATTGTGCATGAAGAAGCCAACTGCTGAAGACGTTTGTGAAGGAAGGGGGCGGAGAGAGGGACGAGCAGGGGGATGCATTGCAGTAGAGATGACCTTCACGCAAAGAGCACTCTGGTGTCAGATAAGTATAATACTTGAGTTTTGAGAAGTGTTGCAAGGTACTTTGTGCTTGCTGAAAATGCTGTGTAATATTCTCGCTTACTTAAAAGGTCCCAAATAACCAACTGATTGTATAAACGAAAATAAATAAAAACAACACTTTGCTTAACCATAAATTACCTTTTTAATCAATTAATTGATCACAATTGCGTTTTCATTCATAACTGGCAATATACGATTGAAGCATTCTCTGTAATAGAACTGAATGGTGTCGGGACACACAACAAGCAACATGACTACCGCTGTGTACAAGAGAACAACAGGACAACTATGTACACTGCTGTAGTTTAATATACACATTGTACCAACATATACACAAATAGTCAAATCAGTCCTCTGCAAATACAACAGAAACAGTGGTATAAGGAATGAAGTGGTCAACATGTTTAGTATCAATAAAACCCTATATTGCAAACACTTGTATTATACTTCAGCATGGTCTTTTCACCCTTCAATACCCATCTATACAAATGAAAATAAAACATAAAACAAATTAAAATCTTTATAAATCTCTGCAATAGTACAATATTAAACACGAAAATTCTTTTCTGACAATCATAAATACATATAGACAAAACATGAGTGTAATACTCACAATAATAGATATGTAAATTCACCCAAATGAAGTGCAAGAAATGTAAAAAGAAAGGTTATACGAATATATGAAATTCATTTCACTATGACTCTGAAGATTTACATAGCACAATAATTTGAGTCAAAATCACCTTATACTACAAAATATTACTAAATTGGAATGATGAAAAAGGTTCCAATCTACATGGGATAAAGCTCTAAACTAGATGTATCAATACCTCTGGGTGTTGTGTTACCTATCGAAGAACAAGTATTCTACACACAGATTCCTTACATAAGTAACTAACTTAAAAAGGAAGTGTAAGATGTTGCTAAAATTAGGTCAACATTATTGATGTTCTTTATGCAAATTCCCCAAAGCATATGTTTAATAAACTTACATTGTTTATAGGTTACATGCCCTATTTCAACAATATTGAGTACTTGGGCATTACTCAAAATGCAATTTTGTGACCGCAAACAATGCATAGACATTCAACTGATAAACATATTAAAGAAAAAGTACACATACAGAGGTGCTAAACTTACACCAAGCTTCAGATACCAACTGATGAATGTATGAATGGAACAAATAATGTGGAGGTTAATGAAGTTAGATACTAAAGAAACAAACATCATAGGCTAATAGGCTGGCATGATGGTTAGAATTTAGGAAAGCATCTTCTCTGGAACCATGCTAATTAAGAGTTCATGTACATCTGGGGCTATTTTTTAGACGTGAAACAACAATTATGCAGTCAAACATTTACATATGTGTAAATTATGTTCAGTATTCAAACACAAAACTGATAATAATGGACAAACCAAAACACTCCACATTCTTAAATAGAGCTATAATGATGAACAAGTGTAATACTCACACACTTTACACTGATACATCAGTGTTTGAAATTAAGGGAGGTCCTGGAGATATTACTTGTAGAATTCGTATTTGACCCCCTAAATCTTCAACTTCTAATATTAAGGTGATGACAAGGACTCCATGATTTTCATACTTTAGTTTGACCACTGTTCAGCATGTAGACATACAATGCCAGGCATTTACCCTTAAAGGGGTACCAGGCTCAAGACAATTGGCAGTCCAAACAATGATTCAAAATTATATTGTTTTTTCTAGGTGCACAAATTGTATGTGCATCAATTTGGCAGTTAATGATTACCCTACATACAGACACCATCTCATTTTCACCTGGGACACTCCTTACAATGTCTAGACCAAGACTGGACATGGAATCAGATGTTGGAGCATCATACAGTCCTTCTTAAAAGTGAGTGAGACTGGTTTAAAGCCACTTTGAACAGTATTTCAGTTTTATCACGGCATGTCAGTTTAATGTGGGAGGAAAGCCTAAAGTGATGCAGGTCTTAAACAAACCATGCACATCAATCTTAAAGCTACAGCTGTATAAGGTAAACTGAATCTCACCTTGATGGATGCAATCTGTGCCTGCTGCATTTGCACTTCCAATCTGGTAAGTGACATTTAATATCAAACTAGCATTCAGTTGGTGGTAGCTTTTTCGAGACATTTTCACAGATTGTCAAATCCATTTGGGTCTCATGTGTGGATCCACTGCTTTAACAACAAATTGTTAACCAGGTAACAAACAAACTTCACAGAACACAAACATCTTATTCCACTGCATGCTTCTCCCATATTAAACAATTCAAATAAACATGTCCCTGTTGAATCGAACTCGACTATCGCAATTTGGTTCAATTACTATGATTGAAATAGTTTCCTTAAGGACTGGTACATATTCTTTGTGGTCTTGGTGATGATGTCATTGAATCCAATGAAGTTGCAATAACAAAAAATCATAAAACTTGAATCAATCACTGTCATAATTTTTTTATGAAGATATCAACATTTTCATTCAAAGTTAACCTGTATTTTAACCAGAACGTTAACATCAACATATGTAGAGCAGCCAGCAACTCACATCATACAAGAACATCTGGTGTAGAGACTCAGTGTTTTAACTCTCACACAGTATCACAGAATTAACAACAGAAGTTTACAACCTTGAAATGGAGCCTTGAACATATGCATCATGGATGCAGATCCCACTCATTCAGATCACGTGGCATACATCCTTACTTTAATAACTATATACAAAACAGGATAAATAAGTACAGCCTACCAAACATAAAGAACTACACTAGGTGTATCCACAATACAGATCAATTGTTGATTACATCCTTTCAGAGGGCATTATCACCTATCAGAAGTATACACCTTGGGTTTTAGGTATCAATATATAACGAGATGCCTACTTCATTATCACCTATCAGAAGGACACACCCGGGACTATTAGGCATCGATATACAAAGAGGCGCCTACTTCATTATCACCTATCTGAAGGCGCACCTTGGGTTATTAGGCATCAATATATAAAGAGATGCCTACTTCATTATCACCTATCAGAAGGACACACCCAGGACTATTAGGCATCGATATACAAAGAGACGCCTACTTCATTATAACATATCTGAAGGTGCACCTGGAGTTATTAGGTATCGATATATAAAGAGATGCCTTCTTCATTATCACATATCTGAAGGATACACCTTGGGTTATTAGGCATGGATATACAAAAAGACACCTACTTCATTATCACCTATCAGAAGGACACATCCGGGACTATTAGGCATCGATATACAAAGAGATGCCTACTTCATTATCACTTATCTGAAGGTGCACCTTGGGTTATTAGACAATGATATATATATATAGATGCCTACTTCATTATCACTTATCTGAAGGTGCACCTGAGGTTATTAGACAATGGTACATATAGAGAGATGCCTCCTTCATTATCACTTATCTGAAGGTGCACCTGAGGTTATTAGACAATGATATATATAGAGAGATGCCTACTTCATTATCACCTATCTGAAGGTGCACCTGCAGCAATCAGGCGACAACATAGAGAGAGATGCCTCCATCCTTTCTAGTTTTGAGAACTATCATAAACCAAAGAAGGATATTGAACAACCTGTTTGTCATAGGATATGGAGCGACAGGTTCTGCATGTGCATTTAATACTCACTCTAGTATGACAGTTCTATAAATGGGATGTGTTTATGTATCAGACTGTATATATAAGACCATATATCAGACTGTATATATAAGACCATACATCAGACTGTACATAAGACCATATATCAGACTGTATATATAAGACCATATATCAGACTGTACATAAGACCATATATCAGACTGTATGTAAGGCCATATATCAGACTGTAAGACCATATATCAGACTGTATGTAAGACCATATATCAGACTGTATGTAAGACCATATATCAGACTGTACGTAAGACCATATATCAGACTGTATGTAAGGCCATATATCAGACTGTACGTAAGACCATATTTCAGACTGTATGTAAGACCATATATCAGACTGTATGTAAGACCATATATCAGACTGTACATAAGACCATATATCAGACTGGCCATATATCAGACTGTACATTAGACCATATATCAAACTGTATGTAAGGCCATTTATGAGACTGTACATAAGACCATATATCAGACTGTATGTAAGGCCATATGTAAGACTGTACATAAGACCATATATCAGACTGTACATAAGACCATATATCAGACTGTACATAAGACCATATTCCAGACTGTACATAAGACCATATTCCAGACTGTATAGAAGACCATATATCAGCCCAAACAAAAGACCATACGTCAAACTGTATATAAGACCATATATCAGACTGCACATGAGACCCCATATCAGACTGTATACAGACTACATAACAGACTATATAACAATCTGTAAACAAGACTAAATAACAATCTGTACATAACAGACTGTACATAAGACCATATAACAGAACGTCAATAACACTGTATATAAGACTATAAATCAGACTGTGTACAAGATTGTATATCAAACTGAATCGAAGATTATAGAACAGACTGTACTTCAAACTGATACATATCCATATATCACTATATCAAAACTACAAGTCAGAATGTATTGGAGATGAAAGGCAGATCTATGATTTTGATGTATCTTGATAGACAGGCATGTTGGGGGTCGTAAAACGAGTACTTTTGCATCCTCCAGTTGAGGCCATAAACATTAGATTGTAAGAATAGTGGTCTCCGTATCAAACTAGATACCTGATTCTTGATCACTGACTGTATGTTACTTTCTCTCAGACTTCCAACTCAAATACGTATATTCCTGTTTTATTTGATGTTTCCATATGGGATGCACTTCCATTGTTGATAAACATCTAGTAAACAACTAGTAATCTTCTACATAAACAGTTGGTCTGTACAAGTAACAGTGTCTCAACATCCGAACAGGTGCAGATCACAAAACACCATAACAAATCCTGCACATTTAGCGCAACACCTCACATCCTGTGAAAAAGTGACATATATTATCTTACAAACATGTATAACAGATTCTATTATGCTTTCTACAATGAAAAAACACATAGACGTTTATTAGATACTTCAATCAATAATACTCACGGTCCCACTATACTGTGTCCTGATGAAAATGATAACAAAATGGCCGACTGGTGGGAAAAGGGGGATCACTCTAATATTTAGTCATCAAATATTAAATAAAATTTTACAAAGAACTTTTTAAACTGTATACAATTATATCAAGAAGAGTATGGTTGTTGAGCTTAAACATAAGAATAATTTCAATGGGTGAGAGCATTGTTATATAAAATATACAGACAAAATAAAATCTAGGGATATAAAAGAATACAGAGAATAAAATACAAGAGGAGAGTGAAGAAATTCTGTACAAATGACTAGAAAGTTTGCCGGAGAACTCTCTACTGTTGAACCCAACTGGCCCAGAAATGAGTGCACACATCACCTCAAGTCTGTACACAGCACATGTGCAACTCAATACACTGGTGTTTGTATTTACAATATATTGCACGTGAGATCAAATAGAGCGATGGAAATCACTAGCAGTTCATACCATTTCATCAACTGAAGTCAAACAGATTATAGAAATAATTGAAGAAAGTATACTTCTGAGTATTATAATATATACATAATATAAACAAACAGAACAGGGGACAGCAACATGCTGTAGGTAGCAATAATGAGGGTTTATATCGATTCTACACTTATTCCTTAAAACGGTAAACAGTGTTCAACCAACAGGGTGTACATCAAGTGTTGCACATCTTGTATTACAGATGCATTTCTATTTCATTGAAATAATGTTCAACATGAGGTAACTGAATCGGGCAATAAAAAAGAACCGTTTCGACATACCAGTAAGTTGCCTATTGCACAGGAGATTAACATGAAGGAAAAATGTTTCCGTTTTGGCATCCAGTGCTGTAGCCTATTGGATCAAAATGTGTTTAGAAGCATATAAGCTTAATTAACCAATAGGATCTTAATTTGCAGTGGCACTTCAATCTACTTTAAAACAAGTCACAAATTGATTCTATTATTATTATTATTATTATTATTCAAGACACTGTTCATACTTAATCAGTTAATTTTGAAATTAATGATAGGAATATACTATGCCATTTCATTTATAGATACTACCAGTTTCCAACTACTCTTCAATAACTATTCCTATTTCGTGTCATTTGCACCTTCTCTAGGACATCATGTCTAGTTATCAAAGAGACTTATTCTTAATCAGTTACATCAACACACAACAATTGACTAATACTGTCCAAATCATACAATGAAGTAAAATATAACTTATTTATCACAACCCTGCAAGTTGCCTTGTGTGAGCAGAACACCCCTAACATATCAACAACTGTGCATAACAGCTTATTCAGTACTATATTCCTAAAGCACAACGAATGGGCTTTGTCTACACTTACTCCCAACACTACAGTACACAATTCAATAGATTCATCTAACATAATACCTCATTTAATTGTGTATACATTTCTTGCTAACTCTTCATAAATCTGACCAATAGAAAACTTCGCAGCAAGACACAATGACACACAACTTGGCTAGAAAGTTGTAAGGAATATAGTATATATAGGAATCATGTCATAATTAGCTAGTGTTGTACCACTAGTCCACTAGCAACACTAAAACCATCAAATGTCTGACATGTAGGACTTTCTCTTTACAATGGACAAGGAGCCTATACAATGGGCTAATACGCAGTTCTAATCACAATCACCTTCAGTTATCTACAGCTACATCAAATAATCTGAGATGACTAGGAAACCACTGATCTCACCAATTCGGAAACAATGTCAATTATGCCAGAGAGAAAACATCACCATTGTGGCCTGTTCGAACTGCACTACACCATCTTGGCTTGATGGAACTACATATGTGACCAGCAAGGTTAGCTAAATAATCCTCACAGTTTCAATGACAGACATAACCTCAGCCTCCAGTCTATGTGATGCCACTTTCTATATTATCCATATACGAGTGAGTGTACATGACTTGACCATGTCCTTCAAATGTCTATATCACCATGCTGGTCAAGACGGCCAGGTCTGGACGACTATATCTTTCTCCGGCAACTGCCTGAACTTCATGGAACCGTCCACGCCACACGAGAAAAGGTGATGACCCGGGCCCAGAGACACCTGGGCCACCCCTGATGTGGACCCCACATTCTTGAAGAAGGTGCTCTTGCTGTGCTCTCCAGGAAAGGAGAACAGAAGCTGGTGAATATCTAGGCCCCAGACCTGAAAGACAGTCACAGTATTACAAGATCATCTACAAAAGCTCAAGCATAATTATCACATATTGATTTAACTGCTAAGGAGTTTTAGGATTTGGTCGTTTTTTAATTATCAATCACTTGTAATAATTGGTACATTCCCACCTATCAATCATCAGTGTGTTTCAAATATTTTGTGTACTTTCCACACAATACACTTTTAGCACTTGCTCTCATCATTTGCAGGACATAACAATTTTAAAAATCGGACTCAAATGTGAAAATGTCTCTCTGATTGCACATTCTACAGATGAGTGTGTTAATGTGCAAGTAATGAATGGTAACACCAGACTAAGACTTCTTTCACCTGTACATTCTTGACAGTTTTAAAAAACAATATCCATAACATGAAATAATTACATCAAGCAACTACTGATCTCAAAATGTATCATTAATTGACATTTTGACAGTTTTAACTCTTGGAAGTAGGATGTGCATTATATATACAAGAGAATACAGTGGTACTCACAATGCAGTAATATATCTAGTCACTAAACTTATTACTCTAAACACATATTTTGATGGGTTTTTTCCATATATATTATGTAATTTGGTGAAAATAAAAATCTGTAAAACAAGGAACAAAATTGCTCTGGCCTTCCATTAAATAAAATAAATCTACAATCAAAGTATCAATCACTGCATCACCTTCCAAGTTACCTTAAGACTACAACCACTTGGTAAATCTGTTCATACCATCTGTTTACCATGAAAAGTTGACACTAATATGTGAAAGAAGTTATTTTTCTACATTTAACTGCATATAGCATAGTACAATCCTGACCTTGACATCGCCTTCGGCAGATCCTGTGACAAAGTATTCCTCTTCAGAATCCATGGCTAGACATTTGATTGGTCCATCATGAGCCTGGAATGTGTGTCGCATCTGTCTCTGACGCATGTCAAAAATACCTGACACAGGCTAAGGAAACTGCTTTCTTCATATGGAGAATGAGGAATGTGTCATGGGAATCAAACATGGGCCTTGCGGATGATGAGCAAACGCTTCATCCACAAAGCTAACCTCTAATTGCAATAGACTTTCAAGGGTGTATGCTGTGTAGAGTGAGTGAGGGAATGTTTTATGGCATTTAGTAATATGCAGTAACCGGTATAGGAACAGGCCAATCCGGACATTCTGCAAACCCTTTTGGAGTCTCATAGCCCAAACACTTGACATTTTCTGTAGTGTCAATTTATTTTTATTAGCTAAGCTTTCAAGACCAAAAGAAATTTTACTGGAGTCTCGATACAGGAAGCAATCGCAGCCTTACGACCTATCGTAACTTATAGTTTATCACAGGCTTAGGAACATCACAGCACTACAAACACTTTGGGGATCGGACCCCGGTCTTGGGAGTAGTGACAAAAGTAACAAAGCAATTGGTAGCTGATTATACGACACATCTGGGCACTTCTGGGCACTTGGGTCTTATTCTGTATTTGGAGGAATCAGTAAAGGGTAGCTTGCTTTCAATTCTTTACGAAAGGATACATATTTCTCCCTTCCTGCCCCCACTGATCAGCATCTGGTGTTGTGGGGCGTACACGACGGCAGGACTCCCATGTTCATGACACGTGAATGCTGGAACAAACAACAGCTTTAATTTAACACTGATTTTAAAGTTCTATCTAAACAAGCTGTCCCCGAAACCTTTCACATTAATAGCTCCAACTTCTTTTGGCACCATTTTCTGGTGATTAAAGACTACAGACTATAAACAGTTTTATTTTGATTGGAATGGTTTGATGCATGCTGCAAAGGGTAAGTGCCCCTGCATGTTCTGATAAACAGCTGTGACAGTAGCAAATTGTGGACATGTACAGCTAGGTTAACATGGACTTCTACCAGAGTGCCATTGTACTAAGCGATCTTAGCGTTAAGGTGAGAGTAACTTCCATGCCTTAACATAGACTTATGACAGCTGTAGCACTGAGGTTGTTTGTACAACGGCACCCTGACCACTACCTCACAATGTTAGTACATGAGGGTGAAGAAGATAACTACACTACTACATGCAATGGAAACATTATTGCATATTAAGTCAAGATGAATTCCAAAGGTCCATTTGTAAAGATAGTTTCTTATGTCAATAAACTCAGCATAGTAGACATGAGAAAAATCATCAATGGAGGCAGCAGAAACAAATGCAGATAAACTGCCAGTACCCTAAAGTGTTTCTGACCATGTGACCCAGCACCTGCAGTCTACTCACCGTGAACCAGAGCACTACGCTGAGGCAGCATCAGAAACACATTCAGACAAAATGCCAGTACCCTAAAGTGTTTCTGACCATGTGACCCAGCACCTGCACTCTACTCACCGTGAACCAGAGCACTACGCTGAGGCAGCAACGTGTCCCACAGACAAACATTCTTGCTCTCTGATGAGTGGCCCGCTGTGGCTATCAGACTTGATGACCCCACAAATGTGAAGTCACTGGTTGTCTTGTTGTGACAGCTCAAGCTCTGCAACCAGGTTGTCAAAAACATCAAGTCAGGTTATGAAACAAACGGACTATTTCATCTACTCAAACACAAGGAATCAACCATCATTTCATTTGAGATAAACTGGATAAATCAGGAGATTGTGTGCTCGTGCACACACATGACACCTAAAACTGTGATCCAGTAGACAACTAGGTCTTTCAGTATCTATATTATCAGTGTTTTGACTTCCATAAGCTGGGCTAGAGAATCCTTACCATGATTGGTTTGTTGAAGTTGCTGCCAAGGCCAACCTGCCACAGACAGATGGATCCCTCTATGTCGCTTACACAACACTAGAACATGAAGAATCAGTATCAGGAGATATCTCAGTCAAACAAACTAAACAAATATCATACCCAGCTTTACCCCTTTAGCCAATCTCTTCCTATTCCTCCGAGTATTATGCTTTTTAAGTAACATAAACACCTATCAAACATGGATAAACATGGATTTTGCCAAAATGTTTCTTTTAACTATTTTATCAGGTGAGATGAGACAAACATATTGTTTGACAAGATTAACTGAATGATCTATTTGTTAAGTATTTCCTTAGTCTGAAAATGATCTGGCCAATGAGGCATAATGTATCACTTCAGTACAGTGAAAGGTCTATTTCACATGTTCAGATAGCAATTTAGATTTAGTGCTTAATGATGAAATACATGAAGAATGTTTACCTTGTTGCCCTGAGCATTGAACAGCACCTTGGTGACCTTGGGGAAGGACCCTTGTTGTCTAAGAACAGTGAGAGGCTGAGCGTGGCCCCATTCCCACAGCCTCACACTACCATCAGCACTGCCACTCAGATCTGTAGTCATAACACACACATGTCAACGGGGGATTTGAACCCTCCCACTCAGATCTAGTCATAAACACACACACATCAACGGGGGATTTGAGCCCTCCCACTCAGATCTACTGTCATAAACACAAACGTCAACAGGGGATTTGAACTTTCCCACAGCCTCACACTATCATCAGCAATGCCACTCAGATCTGCAGTCATAAACACACACATGTCAACAGGGGATTTGAACCCTCTCACTCAGATCTGCAGTCATAAACACACACACGTCAACAGGGGATTTGAACCTTTCCACAGCCTCATACTATCATCACCACTCCCATTCAGATCTACAGTCATAAACGCACATGTCAACGGGAAATTTGAACCTTTCCACAGCCTCATACTATCATCACCACTCCCACTCAGATCTACAGTCATAAACACACATGTCAACGGGAAATTTGAACCTTTCCACAGCCTCACACTATCATCACCACTCCCACTCAGATCTGCAGTCATAAACACACACATGTCAACAGGGGATTTGAACCTTCCCATTCAGATCTACAGTCATAAACACACACACATCAACGGGGAATTTGAACCTTTCCACAGCCTCACACTATCATCAGCAATGCCACTCAGATCTGCAGTCATAAACACACACACATCAACAGGGGATTTGAACCCTCTCACTCCAATCTAGTCGTAAACACACACACCTAAGGAATGCAACACGGCACAGCAGCACCTTTGACAGCTGGGTCACTCAAGTTCCTATTTGGCAATTTGAAATGATACATATAGCCATGATTGATATCTAACAACCATTGTTGCTTTTGAATATTGTTCTTTCTTTTTTTAACGTTCCATTACCAGTGACTGGTGAGTCTGTGTACTTACAGTGTGGCAGATGAGGATGGGATCCCATACGTCGTACTCCAACAACCTGGCGACGCAGGATCTGAAACACACATCACAGCATGAAACTCCACACACAGGGCATCATAAAGCCAACAGAGTGTTACTAATAATTATTCACAGTTCAACAATTACATTGGCAAGATTAACATTAACAGTTAACATCTTCAAAAGACATCCCCATCTACTTTTGTATGAAATATTAAAATAATATAATTTTATCTGACTTTAAAGCTGATATATTACCTCCATATTACACTGACGATGCTACCCTGCACATGCACAAAAGTGGACGGACACCTGGTGCCCCAGACCCTACTGGTGGTGAGCAAACAATGACATGCCATGTTGTGGAGGTTCATGACGGATGCAGATCAGTGCAGTGACAACATACATGACGATGGTTACCTACACACACTACTGCTGGTAATACACTAATCACAAGGTTACCAAGACTTTCAACTGTAGATCTGGTGAAACCTAACAATCACGGAATGGTGCTGACAGACAAGGATCACAGTCGGGGTGAATCTGGGGTTCAAACCCACAACCAGTTCATCCTGACATGCTAAAAGGGCAAACATCTGCACAGTTACGACCACTGGGCCACCAAGCCACCTCTTCACTGTGAAAAGAAAGCCCACGCAAGCGAGGTATTACTTCATGGAAGCTGTGGATACACATAAAAAAGATACGATTCCTTTCCTATTGACACTTCTGTCATGAGAATCATATTCTTCATCATCATACATAGCTACCATAGCTCACCTGGCATCTCAAACAGTTTAGCCATGTAAGTTTCAACTGACTACCTTCACACTTCTTTTTTCACACAGATGGCAAAACATCAAAGTATTAAAAAAAATGATAATAATAGTAACATCAGCCATAAAAGACTCCATATGATAACAATTTTTAACAATGACGCCAAGAGCCAAGTTGGGGTTTAGCCGACTCAAAAGCTTTTGGCACAGTCTGACATACTGATGTCAACTTTAACCTTCATAATCATAGAACCATTATGGTGGGCAGAACAAGGATGACTGTTGTTTTATGCCACAGTTAACAATAATGTAATGAAACTATCACAGACTCATATTACAAATGGTCATCATAATCTTCAAAACCCAAAGGAAACACGAACACCAGACATGCTACATAACATTCACATATAACAAAGTATGACTATCATCCTTTCAACATAACTCTGTACTGAATAAAATCTATATTGTATATACATGGAGACAGAATGGGCTTCTGGATGTCCACTCCCTTATTCTTTCAATGCAATATTTCATACAGATGTTTGTACCTTATCAAGCTAAAGGAAGAGAATTTAGGGATGTCAACTTCTTTCTTTAAGAGAACACATCGTTTCGGAGTATATGCTTACCTCTTGATCAGGTGAATGAAGGAGTAAGCATATACACCCAAACGATGTGTTCCTCATAATAAAGTAGTCGACATCCAAAAAAATTCTTCCTAATGTGTATCACTTCTAAATGCCCTTCATTGACTCATTAAGCTTGAACATACAGATGTTTGAAGCTTTATCAAGCTAGTACTTGAATGTTCATTGAAAGAATAATGAAATTGAACTCTACAAGTCAACTCTAGTCTTCACTAATACATCTTCTAAAATGTCACTTAAAGAAATTGTGTACACAAGGCTACACACACTGCGACAAGGAACACGACAAAAAGAATACTTTGTGTACATATTCTATAAGGAAAGAAGTCTGAGAAGACACACAACACTGAGATGTGGAAGCATGACAAGCTCACCACGCGTATCAAGCGTTTACTGCGGTCAAGCACAAACTGGGAAAATGCAGGATTGTGCATCCCAGGAAAGTGCAGTCCCTTCACCTGCCCTCCCAGATTAGCATACACAGAGGAAGAAAATACACATTAGTTCAGAGCTTAAACAGACATAGATTAGATGCTAAACCTGAAAAAATAACTGAAAAAATTACCAGATTTACAAAAAATTTAAAAGTAACAACACTCCATCCTACACATATCCACCATAAAACAGAGAACCAGTAACAGATATGTACTGAGGTTTCACATCTGTGTAGGTATAACATATCTCAACATTGCAGTCCTATAAAATACATTACACAGATGTAGTGCTTCAGAATACAATGTGGAGGATGTACACATTATGACTTTTTCATGATAAGAGAAACTTTTATTGCTGTGTAGCACCACACCCAGCAATATTCCAGCTCTGTGATGGTGGCCTGTGAACAATTAGCCTGGACCAAACAAACCAGTGATTGATATTAAGAGCAATGTCACGAGCCATCGGAGTACGATGACACATAATACTCCAAGCCACCGATGAGACAATTTGAAGGATATCTATTCCAAAATGCCACACAGTTACACATAGTTACACATGCCACCTGTAGGGACAGAGAGGTACAACTGACAAGAACTGGGACACTTTCAAACATCATTTAGATGCAAGGTATCGCATTGTAAAGACACATGTATACTCCCTACGGAGTTGAGAGTGTAATCTCAATACACACTCATCCACTGCATGGGGCAATAATGTCATGCACTTTTAACATGCCTTCTGTGGTCTTGCAATTATTATCATTATTATTTTCTTTATTTTTATTTTTATTTTTATTTTTAAGGTATCATTTATGTGAGATCATGTCCTAGGATCATAAAAAAGTGGGATGAGTGATTGAAGGAACCTATGTTTTATTTTTATTTTTATTTTTATTTTTAAGGTATCATTTATGTGAGATCATGTCCTAGGATCATAAAAAAGTGGGATGAGTGATTGAAGGAACCTATGTTTCCAAATGGTTCAGGAAGTGAAGAGTTTGTGCAGCAGCATCAACGACGTGTACCAACCCACCATCACAGCCACCATGTCAACTGACTACCTACAAAAATACTTAGCAATCAATATAATTAATTATTAAGTAAACAATGTTGGGGAATATGAAAACAGTTATTGAAAGTACCATTCCTGTTTTACTGGCTGTACCATCAGTAATTATTACCCTCCTTAATATACAAGAACTAGGGCTGGGTGTACTTGATGCATATGCAGAAAGAAACTAAGGGCTGGATGGTACTTTATATATATGTAGCAACAATTATTTGATATATCAATTAAGGTGAATTCATGTTTGAAGTCATCCAGGTCCTTCAAACTTTGGATATTTTGAATTGCAAGAGGAAGATATGTGCTGAGGGAAGGGTACAAAAATAAATATTCATGAAATGCTGAAAAAGTGAAAAAATTGTGGCACCAACCATGTTTACAGTTTACTACTCTTCTTTAATAAGTAACATAAATAATGTAAATGCTTTGCAAAAAACACTGTCTCTCACACTAGCTTTCACACCAGACCACATTACTATAACTATTTAGCAGGAAAAAGAGGCTGTTACTGTAAAGCAGCTGGAAAGAAGAAGACGAGGACACACAAAGGGCTGAGCTTGCTGAGCACGATGTGGTCGTGTGCGTTGCTGACCTATGAGCCATCTATCTCCATCTACCCAGGTTATCAGCCAACTATGGATACATACTTTACCGACTTCACATTATGCAGTTTCAATGTTGGTGAGTGAGTATGTTTGTTTTTTTAGCTTTTTGCAAATCACAGCAAACTGATGATGAGAAAGATGAGTGACCAGTCATTGCATACCACATCTGCTTCTACATACCAAGGCTTGTTTACAAAACCATCTTCGCACTAGGACAATTGTAAGTCTATGCTGTGACAGTCAAATTGTGCTTAAATTTCTTTGTGAAACGGCAGTCCATGGCCCAGTTCACAAAGTTATTTTAGTATTAGAACTAATCTTGAGCCATTTCATCCCATCCACCTACTCCTTATCCAATCATTCCACCTATGTAATACGTGGTTATTCCTGTTTAAATGGCTTCCTCATCATGCGTTCTCTAGCTGCCATCATGTTGCTACAATATTATCCTCCTGTTTCTTATTTAACCCACTCATGTTAACCCTCTCATGAGTGTGCATTGTTGTTAATCCTCCACCCACAAGGTATAATTCTGAACCTTGGTCACACTATTCAGTTTTGTTTAACAACGGTATCTATATCAAAAGTGGAATAATAGTACATTAAAGAACTTGTTATCCATAAATTGAGTCAAACTTGTCATCCGTCAAATTCTAAGAAATGGCTATCAAACAATTCAGTATTAGTACTGTGACGCCCATATTTTAACATTGGTTTTAAAACGTCTGAGTGCTGAGATCGCTTGTAAAACAATGCCTTGGTTGTGCAAAGAGTTTGAGTTTTAAATTTAACTCCCATTCATAGCAATTCACCAAATTGATTACAAACAGAAAATATAGAGAATTTAGGGAATTTCCAAAGAAATACCCAGGTGTCCTCCTGAATTCATGACAAAGAGAAAGTAATGACACCAGGTGTTTGTGATATGACTTCACTCCTCGGTCTTGGTGATTATTCGGGATCATATTGTGAGAATGGCAAACTGATCCCAAGCAAGATGATACCACAGTTCCACAGCATACAGAGATACAAAGATATTTAGTATATGTGTGAGAGAGACAGGAATCAGGGTCAAGGCCAAGGTCAAGTACTCGGTACAGGCTCACCTGTTTTGAAAATGGTTTCTGTAAGGCACAAAAGCATGGGGTATTGCATCAGCTAGTAATTCTACAAGATATTTTGTATCTACTTCAAACCGAGACAGGAAAACAAACAGAACATGTTCATCATACAGATAGGGTAAAATCAACAGGAAAGTCTATAACACTATGCACAAAGGAAAGAGCATTCATCTCATAGGGGCAGTGAACTTCGCCAGCCAGAGGTTCATGTAAAGATGCTACATGTTATTTACAAGATATAACAGAAATACATATATCACTGTCTACATCTGCTGTAAAAATAAATGTCCTTTAATGCCATTTTCAGCAATATTACAGCAGGGCACCAAGAATTGGTTCGCCATACTGTACTCATGTGCGGAATAAAAAAACCTGTGTCTTCAGCTTGACACGCCACTGGGATCTCAAACCTGTCTGTATTGTATTTCCCTCTAAGTTGTCTTAACGTTAACGTTATGAGCTTACAAATGTAAAGAAATATTGTATCAGTAACCTTCAACCAGGTTTTCAAAAATTTTGAACTTAATTATATTTGTCGACAATAAGAATGACAGTGACAATACAAAGTTAATGTCCTCATTTGTATTCTTATTATATTGTCATCAAACTGGCCAAGTTCACTGTATCACATAGAAATATAAGGAACATGATAATCTTCCCGATATGCTTTATTTCAGATGGTAGATTTTCCAAAAATGAGTGTCATAGCAAAGCGCAAACAAAAGAGGGAGCTGCACAGGGGGTAAAGTTATGCACACCAATGTCTAATGTTCCTACACTGACAGAAGGATCACTGTTGAATGGCTGACACTATAATCACAACATCTACCCTCTTAAAAAACTAAACAGATTAATACAGTCAAGTCCCGTTTATCTGATAAGGTTGGTTGCATGTGATTATGTTGGAAAAACAAAATTAAGTACTGTCAACGTTCGTGATCAAAAATCGGACAACTACACGATAGATAACGTTACAAACACAATGTAATAAAAAAATTATAACTGAAATATTCGTATTGTTATGTTATATTGTGATTAGAATATGTTTTTTAATTATGCAACCTCTACAACTTAACACAAAACTATTGTTACAAGCTGTATGACTGATTCAAAATACTTTTGAAAGCATAGCCTGGAGTTCTGCAAAAAGCAACAAAGTTGCTTTCTTAGTGGCTAATGTCGATTTCCTGTTGGTCATTTTATTGGACGGTCAAAGTACGCAAAAGGTTGTTCTAACGTGACCTGTAATTCGGTAATTCATTGTAAATTAGGTGTGTCAGAGTCGGAGTGCGAGACTGTTGGATTAACAGGTCTAATTAGCACTGATTCAATCGGTTCCCGTCATTAGTGTCGGATAAAGCTGATTGTCAGATTAATGAGTGTTGGATTAACAGGACTTGACGGTATATACTTTTGTATGAGTGAAATATGAAAGAAATCAGTAATCATGACTGTAATTCACAATGTTACCATGTCTTCAAATTACTGAAACATGTAGGGGATTTATCTAGGATTAAAAATTAAATGCCCCAGGAAGGGGAACAAATACATTCAAGTCACGTTATTCCAACCTGGTTGGTTGCATATGATTATGTCAGATTAACGAGTATGTCGGATAAATGAAATAAAGTAGTACCAACGTTCGTCGGTCATAGTTTGCGAAAGGTTCTTCTAACGTGACCTGTAATGGGATGTCCTCAGCGATAGCAAGTACATGTATATGATTTTAATAAGATTGGGGTAATCTAAGCATGTGATTAATCCCGTTTTCCTTATTTAAAGCATGAATTGTTTATTGTTAAGCAAAGTTTATCTCTGCAGCTTTGTAAAATGCAGCTACTAGCCGACTCGTCTCGCATCAAAACGCTGGCTGTGTACTCGCGGGCAGATAACCACGGAGTACGTTAATCACTGTGTCGGATTAACACATGAGTGATTTCGGTAATTCGTTGCAAATTAGGTGTGTCGGAGTCCGAGTGCGAGACTGTCAGATTAACAGGTCTAAATAGCACTGATTTAATCGGTTCCCATCATTAGTGTCGGATAAAGACGATTGTCGGATTAACGAGCGTCAGATGAACGAGACTTGACTGTTGTAGTACATGTATCATTATTTTGTTAAAAAATGGGATATTGTTATAAATTCTCATTTTCTGAAACTCAGATTTTAACACTGCGTTCCATGTAATAATGTAAACCTTTGGGTCCTGTTATTAGTGAAATACAAATCACCTCTACAAAGACACAACATGAATTGGGAATTCTTATTAAACCCAGTTTAGGAATGTTAAGTCAGTACTGACATTTGAATATCGGCCTCTGAGAAGGTCTAGATAACACTCTGGATCATATAAGTACTATACATGGAACAGAGTGAGTTAGAGAGAGAGTGATTGAGTTGTGTTTACACCTTTGAACAATTTTTAGTTATCATGACGTGTCAGCTTGTTGCGGGATGAAAGCCCAAAGTGTCATAGATGTTTACCGCTTCGATGAAACCCACAGCATGGGCGTGATACTGACAAACCAAGGATCATAATCTGGGAAAATCTTGGATTTGAACTCATGATCAGCAGATCTTGGCACACAACATAGCCAATTGGTGTACTGCAGCCCATAAGGCCACCTGTGTCCCCTTAAGAAATCACATATGTCCAAGGTTTTACTAAACACAAGCCAATATCAACACAAACTTTTAGGGCCTAACATACAGTGTTCCCGTTTACCAGTAATTACCAGTTTTTTACTGGTAAAATTAGGCTTGGACCAGTAATTCATGTGACTGCCAGTCCCTGTGGACCGGCAAATAAAGTACTTATAAATCTTTGTTGTTGAACAAAACATTGGTGATATTCATATAAGTACATTTTTCGAAACAAAGTCAGCTTGTCTGTTACTATCAAGGTTTCCCCTTGTCTATTTCTAGGTTAAATATCCATTTGTAGTGACTTTGTCTCAAAATATTAAAAAAACAAAGAGAAAAATGTGACTGTAGTTTGTGTGAATGACGTAGAGACTTCAGAGATGACATCTCTGCACTGAACATGAAGTTGAAATAATTAAAACCAAATAATTTTGATACGTTTTCATATTTGTTGAAAGTTGGGACTGGCAATGATTAGGGGGGACTGGTAATTTTAAGAGATGCCAGTCCACAAGGACTGGCAGTTTCAAAAGCCAGCGGGAACACTGATATATTAATAATACTTCTACAGAACAAGGCTCGGATAAATGTGAATCTTAATGTTAATATCATCTCTAATATTCAACAAGGAGAACACACCAAACAATATTCTAACATCACAAAGACCTTCGTTCAGTCAGTATATTACCACAAATGTCAAAGATGATCATGTACAATATGCAATGAAATAGCAAGCACATGATACAACTGCAAGCAAAAGAAAACATAATGGTAATACCCTGGCATGATACGTACCACGCTAGAGCCTCGGCCAGTCTGGGCCTGTGGGGTCCCAATAGACATGGAGCCCGGGGTGCTGGGGTAGTAGGGGGTGCTTGGTGTTTGAGAGCCACTCTGGGGGAGCATGGGCCCATCTTGTGGAGTCTGCACCACCAGAAAGTCTGGGACATCAGATGGGGTCGGGTGGGGGCTGGAAGTGTACACAACCTTGGTCAGGCATCTCCACATAGTTAGTCAGGGAAAAATATTCTTACCGAAGATAAAGATATCAAATAACATATTTGTGAGAAATATCTATCCTGGCAAACTAAATACATTCACAGTAAAACTAAATAGGCAGTTGATCTATATTGACAGTGGTTTTGTTGACAAAATTGATTTTCGGACATTTGCATGATCTTGGACTTGTTTCTGGATCATTACAAAGGTTGAGGAAATATTGATCATATTTTGGATGAAAATCAGTCGGTTTCCTTGAAAATGAATTGATCTGAAATTTATGCATCATGGTATGATTTAGCCTTCAGTGTGTGAAAGTTGGGTTCAATGCCTCTTGAACAGTATTTCAGTTGTATCATGGCATGTTTGTTAATGCTGAAGGACTGCCTGAAGTAGGTCAGTGAGTGAGTGAGTGAGTGGGGTTTAACGCCGCTTTTAACATTATTCCAGTTATATCACGGCATGTCAGCTTAATGTGGGAGGAAAGCCCGAAGTGATGCAGGTCTCAGACGTGGTATGGTGCTGACAAACCTAGAAACATAATCGGGGTGAACTGGGATTCGAACCCACAATGATAGGTTTCTGGCGTGTCCAGGGACGCAACTCTGCACAGCGAATCGCGGCGAGTTAGACGACTAGGCCACCCGTGCCCCTTGAAGTAGTTTGGAGATGTGTGCCATGTTGGTGAAACCCATGAGCATGGGTATGCTGCCTACAACAAACTAAGGATCATAATCAGGTTGAATCTGAGATTTTAAAACCACTCAATCAGCAGATTCAGCATGGCTCCACTAACCACTGCACTACCTGTAAAATACACAGAATTTTTAACCAAGATGACAGCATTCACATCAGGGTTTGCACAAGTCTCAATGTCAACCCGTCACTATCCATGCTCAGGTATTCCAGCTATATGATGGCAGTTCATACATAATCAAGACATGATCACACAAATCTGTAATTGACATTATAAGCAATGTCAGCCTACATTGACACACCATCGCCAAGTAAACGAGTTTGACAAACAAACCATTAAGTCAACTCAAGACGACAAGCCAAGGTTTCTGGGGACCAATTCTAACCCGGGATCCCTATAATTGGGGCAACAAGACTAGGTTTCTGGGGACCAATTCTAACCCAGGATCCTCATAATTGGGGCAACAAGACTAGGTTTCTTGGGACCAATTCTAACCAAGCATCTCCATAATTGGGGCAACAAGACTAGGGTCCTGGGGACCAATTCTAACCAAGCATCTCCATAATTGGGGCAACAAGACTAGGTTTCTGGGGACCAATTCTAAACCGGGATCCCTATAATTGGGGCAACAAGACAAGGTTTCTGGGGACCAATTCTAACCCAGGATCCTCATAATTGGTGCAACAAGACTAGGTTTCTGGGGACCAATTCTAACCAAGCATCTCCATAATTGGGGCAACAAGACTAGGTTTCTGGGGACCAATTCTAAACCGGGATCCCTATAATTGGGGCAACAAGACTAGGTTTCTGGGGACCAATTCTAACCCAGGATCCTCATAATTGGGGCAACAAGACTAGGTTTCTTGGGACCAATTCTAACCCAGGATCCCTATAATTGGTGCAACAAGACTAGGTTTCTGGGGACCAATTCTAACCCAGTATCCCTATAATTGGGGCAACAAGACTAGGTTTCTGGGGACCAATTCTAACCCAGGATCCCTATAATTGGTGCAACAAGACTAGGTTTCTGGGGACCAATTCTAACCCAGTATCCCTATAATTGGTGCAACAAGACTAGGTTTCTGGGGACCAATTCTAACCCGGGTTTCTGGGGACCTATTCTTACCCGGAATCCCCTCAAGGGCAACATGCATGGGACACTGGACACCTTTTCCACCCTGGCTACCCATGGGCTACTCACTTCCGTATACACTCAATGTCGTACTCAGTCTCATCCTCGAGCCATGTGGGTGGATGCAGGATGGCACCGATGTCAAGCTCCACAATCTCCTTCTGTGTTGACAGAGTGATGCAGTTTAGGTTGGCCTGTAAACACAATGAGAAAACCATGTACACCCGATGCTGCTGACTAACATGTGTACGTCATACTGACCACAGCCTCCCTCAACAAAGTCACATTCGGTCAAGGGACAGTCTTCTACAACAATACCAAATTTAAGAAAATTATTAGGTTATTCAGGATGACAACCAATTAACTTCCTTGAAAATCAACCAACCCTGTAAGACGATCATAATTATGACACTTTATGTAAACAACAGTCTCAGCAGGATCACCACTTTGTGGGACCTGAAACACCAACACCAAGTTCTGTTGGGATGGATGTCCTGTTTCAAGGCTGTCTTCCCACTGGACACTTTAATTTACTCCACATTCTCAAATTCAAACTGACAAAAGTCATACCTGTTACAGATGATTGTACTTTACACTGCATACAAAGTAAAGCTTTTTAATTAATTTTCATTACGGACCTCCTTAATAAGAGTAATCAAATTTTATATTATTCTTTGCAAAATAATAAATAAGGTTACATCTGTCAATTAACTTGAAATCTTAAGTGGTTTCATGAAATGATTGATCATGATACCAACATTCAATAACCACTGCCATGTTTGACAAGTAAGGATTAAGATATATAGATGTTCAACTTCTTTATTACAATTAGCAGTGACGTTTTGGTGTAGGTTCTAACACCATTAGCCGGCAAGTGATGTACAGAGTACGGTTGAGAAGCATATATACAGGTATGAGGTAGAGTTTATACAGTTGAGTTGATTGGGGTGCAGTAACAATAGGGTGCAGAAGCCTGCTATGTAAACAATGCCAGTTGTATAAACAAGAAGATTACAACTGTTTGGACTCTCCGATGAGTTGCAAGCTCCTTCCCAGCGCGTGACACCTTCGTTACACTCTCGGTAACATCGCTGCCACCAGTGTGGGCGCGGCCATTACAAGAATCTTGATACTTGCCCTCAAACCCCAAATGTAGTAACGTTGATACTTTTGTTTATGTCTTTGGGAATGCCATCATATTTCATTTTGAAAAGGTTTACGACTGACCATGTTTTCCAGATGGATTTACTTTGTTGTTTTAATAATAATCAGAACGGAAAATCAACCAACTTCTCCCTTACATTCTTACTATATCAATAACACGACAGTTTTAATGAAACAGAAATTCAAATTGACAATGAAGAAAGTAATTTAGCAGCGATAAGTGTATTTGGCGTCACGACAGTCGTCAGTTTTGACTGGTGGCAGCGATAGTATAGAGAGCTCCGCGAACGGTCTATGGCTGTGAGGAGCTTGTGATGAGTTGATGGTAAAACACTACCTGTATAAACACTACCTTATGCTTGTTTCAATGCTTCTCATGACCAATAAATTTCAGAGATGTTAACCCTATAATGGCATTATGTTTTGGGGTTGAATCAAATGTTCAGTATAGGAAACAGGACACTGATCATGAATACTCATAACAGCAAGTTTTCTAAAACATAATATGACAGTGAAACGTCAAGTAAATCGTATATTTTGTTTCATTATCTATTCAAGAAAAAAACATATACTGTTGAAAAAAAAAAGGGGATATTTGGAAATAACTTTACATTTCCAAAATTGTAAGAGATATTGGTTTCTAGTAATAGTTGTATGATAATCATGAACAAATTGGGAACACATTACAACCAATAGTGAAGTATGAAAGTAGATGTTATGACCACCAACGATCTTGAAGGACAATACGGGTAAGAGGGAAAATTACAAAGTTGACGTTTTTGGATCAGTAGTGCTTAATACCACAATGAAATGTCAAGCAATCAGTCACTAAACGAAACATTCTGCGTCTGTCCCACTCCTCTTGCAACACCTGGTCAAGTGCAGCCAATGTTTGTTGGCAACCTTTTACTTTGATGCACACTCCTCCCTATCATGTCCCAGACATGTTCAATGGGGGAAAGATCTGGGCTCGTTGTTGGCCAGTGTGAAGTAAATGCAAACTATTGGATGTGTTTTGGTGTAATGTTTTACAGACATAAAAGTTCTTGCATAGGATGTTTGTCATCAAAACTGATCTTTGTTCTAATACCTGTGGTACTAACATTTATATTTCATGACCCTTACTTACTTTGAAGATTACATATTGCCTCAGGATGCATGAAATGTGTGGTAACTTGACTGTTGAACAAATTTTGAGAAGGAAGGACCCGCTGGAATCACTCAAAATATTACATCCAATCCTGACTCTAGTATCATGTATCATGTATCAAGTACCAACACAGAAATGACATCTTTTAGAGGGGCCAACTCGACTTAGATCATTTTGTTCTCCAAGCATGTTTGCTTCAGTGAACACTTTAGCCCTTCTGGGTGTTTTGGTTCTGAAGAATAGTTTAAGCTACCTCTAGCATGTTTAGAAATACTCAAAAGGCGTGATCGGGGACACCAAGAATGGGCTTCACACATTGGCTACCTCCCTGTAACCAAGTCTCCTGATTCCGTTTCATCTTGCATAGCCTGATGATTGTTATTACATGATAATTCTACAGATTCAAAAAGCCATGAAGATATTACCTGCAGCGTATTCACTATGTAAGTTCAAGCAATCTAATATACTATTTTTCCAACTTCCTTAATATAAAATGATTAATAAAACTAAGTATCTATTTTAATACATATACATTATGGTAAGAAAGACATAAACATATGCAATATGTATGATTCTTGGATTAGCAAGCATTGCATCAGCAGATTAATGCCATTATATGATAACATTACAAAACACGTAGTTGCCCCAACAACACATGGTCATGCATGACAGATCTTTATTTAGTATAAAAGAAATTATCATACCTCCATGTGATTGGTTCACTTGATCTTGATAAAATACAATGTATCCCACATGAGAGGGAAATAAATTTCTGAGCAGGAGAATAAATTTTGTATACCCCTCCATGAAGGTGACAAGCTGCATGTAGATTTCTGAGCGCTTTAAAGTAAAAAGCTGCACATTTTTTCTGAGTCAATGCAAGTCATGTGACATAGCACAAGTAAACCTCTACTTAATCGAACAGCTGTTTTCTATCAAACTGAATTTGTTTTAATTCTTTTACAATGGCAGAATAAAACTTGTTGGTAAGATAAATTCGTTGTAGCAGTATCAAAAGGGGAAAATGTGGTTCTATGCGTCCCTCTGGCTCGTGGGACACAAAAAAACATATGTCCCCCTCGTGATACTGCTACTGCTCCAACCTACAAACTCTCAACCTTATTTAGATCTGATTTAAACTGATTGAATCACATAGAACATGCATGCAAAATATTGATAGATAAAAACTGTCATTCAAGAAGCTGTTCAAAATGCCAAGCACTGATATGTATAAGATTCTAAGATATACCAAATAAGTCAGTATCATCCTAAAAAAAAAAGTTATTTTCTCACAACTGAGACTCATTCACCAAGATCAAGTCTAGATTGATCCATTGGGTGTGAGAGATATCCGTTTATCTTAGAAGCTCATCACCATTTGAGTGTGGCACAATATTTTCATCTAAAAGTTTCATAATGGCATACCTCTCCCAGGATAAAATCTTAAGACGCATTCAATGTATCCTTGCTGACAGATATTAGCAAAACATAAAGATAGTTTTCATTCTGATGTAAGTACGTCTCTTTCCAACTACTGAGCATCCTGTTCTAACAAGCATCATCATCAACTAACAAGAGACCATCTACATTATCAGTGCAGCAAGCTGAAAAAGCAGGAACATGATTCACTGCAATGAACTAAACAAAATGAATTAAAATATCAAAAGGACATATCAAATATAGATAGCTCATGCAATAACTCTTACTGTTACCGAAATGCATTGCTTTAAATTCAGTTATATCACAGCATAATGTTCTGGAAAGTAAAAAATTGACACATATCTTTGATGTTTCCACAAGCCTGGTTAAGGTGCTGACAGATGAAGGATCATAGGGCAAATCTGGGAATCAAACCCACAATCAGCAGATCCTGTTTGATCTAAGGGAGGTAACTATGCACTGCAATTTGAGTTCTGTAGAGCTGAGACGACATCGTAACATTTACAAATCTGATGTTATCCTCTTTGGAAGTAGCCCACAAAAAACAAGTCATGCAAGGAAACCAAAGTCAGAGGATATTATATTACTGGCAGATAAACATGCAAGGAAAAAAAATAAATTATGGAAACAAAACCAACAGAAAATATGAAATACTTCAGCATTTCAATATCTTGCAGTGAAAGCTAACTTCTGCGATCTGCAATCAATCATGTATGACACATACATCAAAAGCAACAATCTACTGCCACAACAAAATGAACATAAAAGGTGTTAGTGAGGAAATCAAATGGATTAAAATGATTAAAACTATGTCTTACATTACTGCAAGTGCTACAAGGTTAGCAAGGGATATAATTCCTACTGACCAATGTCAAAGAATTCCTGGTAGTGCCCCCGATTCCCGGATAGATTGCCCAGCCGGACGAACTCTACACAAACAACCAGGATGTAACTGAGACTAGCGTACTTACTACAACCCTAGAGCATGACTCTACTCCCACTGGGTAGACCGGTTTACCCTACACACACACAGAACAGTCAAAGCATATGTACAAGAAATAGGAAGTGGGTTAGAGTAGAATTGATCCACACAAATAATTCAGGCTTCATCTTCGTTGGCCCACGTTTAAGTTTGGTACTCTAAAAAAAGACATGGTTAGTTCTACTGACAGAGTTTTAATGCCATGTGAGGATGGTTGTAACTTGAAAGTAGTGACAGGATGATAGTACATATTAAATCAATATAGCAGTGCAATAGTCATGATAAACTGCACCAGTATAATATAGGCGGACATATAATTTCTGTGAGAGAATATGCATTTACAGGTATGTATTATTACTTGGTAACTTCTTAAATAATATCTAATAAAAGTAAAATCAGTACATCTCCATACTACTTCTGGTTTGACTGTTTCAGTGGAGAATAACCCCCAAAAAAGAAAGCTACTCTATAGGAATACCTTCCTTCCCCCGAAAAAATCATTAGAAAAAAAATATGAGAAAATGAAATCATGTAATGTTTATCTAGTTCAAATAATACATTTATGATAGTGATAACCATAATAATTACCTTTGTTTGAAGCATACAAAGATGAATCAAGTATAAAGAATGTTAAGGCAGGATAAGCACTATAATCAAATTCATACTTGCATCAGTCAGGTTAATCAGAAGTGTCAAATCATAATAACAGATCTCTTAAATGTTTTCGAACAATTGCATCCCTGCAAAGGAATTACACAGGCAAGGATAAAAAAAATAGATCCATGAAATCAAATTCATACTTGAATCAGAGGTTTCAAATAATAATAACAGATCTCTTAAATGTTTTCATACAACTGCATCACTACGAAAAGGAATTATACAGGAAAAGATATAAAAAAGTAGGTCAACTGCCAGTTTCAGATTTTGGCACATGAAAGTGACACACTAATTTGTAGAAACTAGACTACATGTATTCACTATATATGAGGCAATAGATTTGGGAGAAAAAGTGATAAGAATGACCCTGAACATCACATATTACAGAATAACAAATTTGGGGACACCACAGAAATGTGTACCTTTATGATCAAGGACACCATTTGTATCATTTCTATTGTGAAAAACAATGTTCAGTCCTTCATCTGTAGAATATAGTGACATACCTGTATTTTGTTTTAAAGGCAATTATTGTATTTTCCTTCATTCAAATCGCTAATCTACTCAATATGTTCCTTCATTCAAATCGCCAACCTACTCAATATGTTCAACATAACCCAAAGATTTGACGTTTAATTTTGTCATGGAAGATCAGAGAAAAAACATGCTTTCAATACAGAACTGTTATCTGTTGATAGCAGATGTGGCATAGTTCAATGTTGAAAATACAGTTCATCTTCTAACTAAAAGAAAAAAATATCAAAAAGAAAACCGACAACAAATTTACCTACAAACACAACAACAAAATAAAGAGCATAACCTTATCACATGAATGGTCTTAGTAAGACACCAGTCATCCCCTCAGAACACTTTGCTGACCACGTGGTAATTGAATGTAGTTACCTGGTTATTGGCAAACGCTGTGATGATGTCCTGTTCCTTGTGTATGATCTTCATGGGGTCAGGAGCCCTCAAGGTATCGTTTTGTTCTGTGCTGGTTGTTCTCATGGAATCCTGATAATAACAATCACACGTTGTGAGTTGTGTACAAAGCCTCTTTGACTCGTTTGTATGTTAGTTGTTTAATGTCGCACTCAGCAATATTTCAGATATATATGATTGCAGCCTGTAAATAATCGAGTTTGAAGCAGATAATCCACTGATCGATATTGTGAGCAACGATCCACGACGTCGCATCCCACGGGGACAGGCATTCAACCAAGTCACCAAGCCTGACCATCACATCAATTTGGACACCTTTTACGGCAAGCATAGGTTGCTGCAGACCTATTCTAACCCAGAATTGCCAAGAAATAGTTTTTGAAGAGTATTTCAATCATAGTCAAAATTGATTGTAATTTTAGCATCAGCCTCAGGTAATCTCCCTATGCTATGCTGCATACATAATAAAATAAAAATTCAAAAATAAAAACATCGATCAAATTTGAACTTCATTCACACTCAACACAATCAAGCTTAATGTAAATCAAGGTTACTTTGAAAGTTTAATGAGTGGAAATCTGTCACCAAACAGATGTTATCCTTCATGGAAAGCATATGTGGGACGATAACAGGTCTGCCAGAGATAAATAAATATATGTTTTACAAAAGATGACGAGAAAGGCCTGTAGGTTGAAAATGAATAGGTCTGCCAGAGAAGATAGGAAGTACAATCACAAGGAAGTATGTACATACCACTTCACTGTCGACAATGTTCTTCTTCTTGCGGTAGATGTAGCGGAGGAAGATATCCTTTAAGTAGTCTTGTCTCACCAACTGGAACCAAAGTCTCTTCATTGGCAGCGTGGCCTGTCCAGCACTGCAACAACCACAGCTAGAAATTGAACTATTATCAATCATATTATCATAAAAACTTAAACATATTTTTTTTGAAGTAACTCCAAGAAGGAATGTTGTACAAATTTCAGTTTAGTTAATGAGTGAATTTTTATCAAGTTCATAAATTGCATTGGCAGCAATATCATTTCTGGGACACAATGAAAGGGCTTCTCACATTTGAGAATCTGAACCAGGTCTTCCACAAGAAAAAGAGACGGTTCAGCCAATGGGCAAACCCAACTGCCCTCAGCCAATGCATGGACAAACCCCACTGCCCTCAGCCAATGGGCAAACCCCACTTCCGTCATACAAGTCACAGTGGCCTCGGAGCACAGCAATTCACTGTACAAGTTGAATTCCCCATATTTGCAAGGATCCTCTGGTCATGGATTTGAATCCAAGATTCTTTGATTCTTGGTCTGTCAGCACCGTGCTCGTGGTTTCCAGTGACAAAGGTCTATAATCTGTGCCCCTTTAAGCTTTCCTCCCATATTAAACTGACACACAAACTGAATGCTGTTTAAGTGGCATATAAAGCCAATTCAATTAGAAAATAATTTTTATTTTATAGTCTACAAAACGATCGGCTACAGATTTGCCATCAACCTGATGGTAAAAGTTGAAGTCCACATGGAAATGTCACTTACTGAACTTTACTAGTCTCCTACTAGCTTACTTCTGCAAATTTCAAACCTTGTATTCAACCCAATTTGGTGACATTCTCACTCACTGAAGGTCAAAACAGTGGAACAAGGTAATGAGTAAGAATGGGTAAGACCGAATGATACATACACAAAGGGAGTGTTGGCAGGGTCAAGGAGTGCCTGGACCTTGGAGCTGGGCACACCACCGACGACGTCCAGGTAGAGGCCAGGGATGTAGTTGTCTGGGGGCCCTGAGAACAACTCCAGGCGGCCCAGGAGGAACTCATCCCACTGTTCCAGGGTCTTCATCACAGCGTGGAGAAGAGGGGAGCAGTTGGGTAACTCTGTGGACAACAAGATGGCCACATTCTACTCCAGCAAAGAAAGGCCATGAAAGACAAATAATGGCTCTCATCAGAAGCTTCTGTTCAAGGTCATCTGGCTTTTTAGCCATTTTTTGCAGAAAAATGTATTCAAACTGCCATTGCCAAAATTGCAGTCAGTGTTAAGGCTAGGAAAGATAACTCTTCCCATAAATTCTAAAAAAAACTAGACATTCAAAATACTAATATTAAAACTATTAAAACGTTTCATGCACAAAGCCAAACAAAGATGATTCACACAGCATGTATAAATGATCTGTATGATAATGAGAAACATTATTTAAACCTTACACGGCCTAATAAGATTAACAAATACATCAAACATAAAAGTTGAATTTTACTTTGAATCTCGGAGTCTGATATTCATGAGCTGTAATAAGATTGATATGAGGGTATCAAGCTGCCAGATTTTGACCTTCCTGCACATCAGTTTTTAATCCTCCCACATTGCTGTCAAGCATTACCTATGATCATGTCATTACAGTTAACCTTCACATATTTTACATATTTATCACAGTGTTAAATATTTCAGTCACCATAGCTGCTATAGCCCAACTTTATGTGTGGTGTCACAGATTCACACCTGATGATTTTACTGTATATTTGGATCCATGAAGGATCTTACAAATAGGAAGCTGATTTAGATTAATTAAAAAAAAAAGAAGAAAAAAAGGAAGGGTTTGGTGGGGGCAAAGCAATTAATATATTTTCAAAAATAATACAATTCGGACAGATAAGATACTTTGTCAGGGATTTAAACAGTTGGTATTAAATCAACATTCAAAATATGAAGGGTTGTTTTGAAATCACTGAACAAATTTATTTCTGAAATCACGAAATGTTTGAGACAAAAGGATGCATGGTTACATGTCCTCTTCCAGTGATGAGGTGCAGCATACACCATATCACATGTTGCACCCTGTCACTTGTGCATTACTGCATGTGCATTACCAAAACCTCAACAAAACAAATAGTTTATGCACAAAATTCTATCACAATCATTTAACACATTTTTTAACTTAATACCCATCTTCATCAAATTTCTGTTCAACAATCCTATCTGTGACTTTAGCCACCAGCCTAAAGCCAATATGTTGTAAAACTATGTTCAGTCTAGTAAAGACAGAGAAAACAAATGATAAAAAAATGACAACTAAAATCTACAGAAAATGAAACTGAGAGCCATGTTCTTCAAAGTCGACTAAATGTTTTTAGCACTGACTGTCATTATTAATTCTACAGGTATTAACATGGCATTAAACAACACTGTCAGATTAGCATGACCATGTACTTGGTTAAACTGTCCTGAAACCTGAGGGGCTATGCCATGCTTACCCTTTTAAATCTCTTTGTTCATAACATGGAACTATGGAACATATCTGAAGTTCTTACAAATAACTCTGTTAGACCTTGTGGTCTTGTTCCAGATCAACAATCAGGAAAGTTTTCTTAAATAACTGCAAGACCACATTTGAATAAGGTGAGGTGAGGTGAAATGGGGTTTAACATCGCATCCAAGTTTATTGCACTTATATAGTGACGTGCATGTACGTGTGTGTGTTTGTGTGGCTGTTTGTACTAGTCCGGACTGATGCCGTTTTATAGTGCTAGCTCACTGAGATTTTATGCCGCAGTTTAACATGAATACCACACTCAGACACAGTATACTGACTCACAGCCGGCCAGTCCTTGTTTAGCCCCTTAATGCCGAGCGCCAGACAGGGTAACAACAAGTATCATCTTTTAACATCTTTTGGTATCATGCAGCCAGGGATCGAACCCTGGACCTTCCGCTTTCAGGGCGGATGCTCTACCACTTGACCGCAGAGGCCCTCACATTTGAATAAACCAGCAGAATTATGGTATGTGTCCTCGAAAAGATCATTTAATTTTTTGTTTGACAATATGGCTTACATCCAAGGAACCATGGTCAGGGTTTTACTTCAAGCAAAATACTGCCTTCTAAACATATAAAAATTCAGAATCAATGCATTTTTTTACACTGCGAGTCCTTTAGGAAGCAAAAAAGTAGCTCTGTTTAAATCATTAAAAGAAATTTAAAGTTAGCTATCGAAACATACATATAGTTTGCTGGACATGTTCGATTTGATTCCTAGACTCACTTAGTTTGAACAGTAAAGTCTAAAAGGTAGCATCAGACTTCACAAATACTTTACATTTTGTTCACTGGTACAGTGATCAGCCAGGGACCCCAAACGTCAGGATTCACAAACGAAAAGGTCAGGTAAATCCCTGTATGTATGTGCATGAATGAAAGTCACTGAGTTGACCCTATGGTATTAGTTCCACACAGAAAGACAAGGATGGAGTTCCACTATGTACTTTCTTCATGATAGAGCAATGTGAAGAAGCATTCAGAGGATTAGTCTTTCTACATTGGCCATTCAAACAAGGAATGTTATTCCATACCAGGAACACGATCAAGACAGCAGGCAAATATTAGTATGGATAGAGGAAAAGAAGGAAGGGATAAAGTTCGTTATGATCATGATGTTAGTAGCAGTTTCAGTGTAAAACTGTGTGTCCCAAGCTGTTCGTCATTTTGTTAGAATCATTCTTTGGGCAAATTAATACTGCTCGTCATAAGAATTCCAATTATGGTGGAATTATGGTGTTGTATGAGTATAAGACTGTCCTATTTAATCAAACAATAATCTGAAGTGCATGTTCATAGTAATATTATAATAGTGTACAATAAACTAAATATTCAGAGACCTGCAACCTTTCACCAAAAATATAAGTTACAAAAACCCATTCCTTCAAAGTGATAGGAGATTCAAATCCATTAGTTCTGTTTTGCAAAAGCACCTTCTGAAGGTCAAATACAAGCATAAGGTCACATCTTCATGAATACAACTAACAAAATTTTATTTAGTATTTTCTAAGAAAACAATTTAATTTTCAACATGATACACATCCTTTTGATGTTAAGAATAAAACTGCCAGAATAAATATTTTAAAAAGTGAGAGAAATATTTTTACTCTTTTTTTTGAGAACAGTGCTGTTATATCAAACTGGGGACTTACACCATTACGAAGGAAAAGCTTGCATTTGACGTATCTAGTCCCACTATACGTGTTGTACATTTCTCTGTTTTTCACCATCCTCATGTATCCAGGGCATGATGTCTCCATTCCGTTACAATAAATACCCTGGGCCAATTCGTCACTAAAACTTTGTTTTGGGAAGTGATGCCACTATCTCAATCTGTCTTATCACCACAGAGTTTCTCCCACTCTTGAGTGTAATTTAATCATATGGCTATTTTCAGCATCATATAATTTGAATCAACATCATAATGAAGCAATTGAAGCCAATAGGTCCAGGATATTTATCATAATAGAATGGAGATATTATACACAGGATACTCGAGAATGGGTATAAACACCAAATACAAGAAAATGTTACCATCAAAACAATGCAAATTGAGGATAAATATTTACCCATCACCACAAATGTTGAATACAATTTGTCAACCTTGTGTAAGATATGTAGTGTAGTTCATAACGAACTCAAAACATAAACAGAGAATTATACAACAAAAGGTGACAACAATGATGCCAGATTCCCTCTTCCTTACCACTCTGTGTCCACACATCAGAAGCTGAATACAGCACGGTAACGAAAAGCACAGTGGTATTACAACTAGTCCTACAATGCTTACTTGGTCAGAATCACAGCTCCTATCATGAAGGCCAATAAATTGTCAACCTTTGCCATATACGTAAGTGGCATGTAGAAGACGTGGTGGTACCAATGACAACAAGATTCACATGGATTTCAACCTCTTTGTCCTTTCTATGTTATGAAAGCTAAAAGGCAACAATCCTGTCTTTCTATTCCTTGGATAATGAATCACTAATATTGGGATTTCTTAATAAAAAAAAAAATGTTTTATTTCAGCTAATTTAATGAAAAGTACTTTTTAAATGTCAGGGCTGGGTATGTCCCTCGACCATTCCTTCGGTGCCATTGTGACCATTACAAAAGCATAAAGATTGGACAAGAAAGGGCTGGAAGTCTCACAGAATACTCTCCATTAATCCTTGACTCTTCAACAGAAGAGAACGATATATTTGAAAACTGCTTGTTCTGTGATTAGTTCCTAGCATTTCACCATTTCACCTGATAGCGAGAAGTAGCATGGAAACATATTCAGAATACAGAAGTTGGAATCCACACAACTTGTGTCTCGACCCAAAGAAACCTCTCATGACAGCAGTACCAAGGTCTGGGATACAAACAGATCATAAAGAAGGTTGGTATTATTCTTGTATTTTGTTGCTGTATTACTGAATGTGTGCATGAATTATCCACCTATGAGAAGAACCATGGTGGACAAAGGTGCCGATTGTTTCGTATCCTAATCGTCAACATACCCTTGGTAGTAAGTCAGCAATACATATTTATGGTTAATAACAAGCATGATATCCCCTGTGTGACTACTCAAACCATTCCCTGATAAGCATTTTTAGTGTTTCCATCTTCAAACCATCAAAATACTGCAGCTGACAAGCATTCCTTTCAGTTCTAAGAAATGAGGTTCAGGAACCATAAATATTACATGAAGTCTTCCAGGAACCATGTCAATTTACCTCCTAAACATTTTCTATAATATGTTCCAGCAAACCTACTTGTTGAATAATTGTAAATGTTCATGCAAATTTCAATAATTTATATTTTCATGTCATCAACCCTAACAATTTACATTATTACTTGTACACAAAGCTCAGGGAACAATCGGAGGAAACACTTTCTTTGTTTCATTGGAAAGTGGTGTGTAATTCTACCTGCCAAGCGAGAGCTTATGGCCTAGCTACCAACACTCCAACAGTGAAAACAGAGAACAGCAAGGTGACCAGACAACAGACAGAATATACAACGTAAACTATTTACCAACATAATAATGGTTTTGGCAAGAACAATCTATCAAGGAAAAAGTAAACAAACATAGCAACATCTATTAAACATCACAAAGCACTTCTAAACTCACACACAAAAACAATAATTAAGTTACAGTGAAACCCAGTTAGCATGGTTAGTATTGACACAGTTAGTCTTAAAACCCTGCCTCTTGGACAATTACTCTCTGCCAAGCTCTATACATCATCACTGCCACCAATCATAGGCCCTGCAAGGTGTTGAACTCACAACCAATTGTCCACTATGTTTAAAACAAGCAATTATTGTTTTAACGTTGTATACACTTCCCCAAAAGTTGAGACAACCTTTCCAAGAATTTTTGAATGGCTACTTGCATGCTGGTGGCAGTGATGATACCGGGAGGGTAAAGATTGTGTCACATGCAGGGAAGGAGCTTAAAGTTCTGTATACAAAGGGACATTACTCCATGTCCATGACTTGTAAAATCAGGAAGTTGTTAATCAGAATGACTTCACTAGGAATGGTTCAGATTAACAGGGTTTCACTGTTGATAAAGATTACAAGTATATTACTGTCGATAAAGCTTACAAGAATATTACTGTCAATAAACCTTTCAGGTATATTACTGTCAAAGCTTACAGGAATATTACTGTCAATAAAGCTTACAGCTATATTATTGTCAATAAAGCTTACAGCTATATAATTGTTAATAAAGCTTACAGGTACATTACTGTCAATAAAGCTAACGGCTATATTACTGTCAATAAAGCTTACAGCTATACTACTGTCGATAAAGCTTACAGGTGTATTACTGTCAATAAAGCTTACAGCTATATTACTGTCAATAAAGCTTATAGGAATATTACTGTCAATAAAGCTTACAGGTACATTACTGTCAATAAAGCTTACAGGAATATTACTTTCCATTAAGCTTACAGCTATACTACTGTCGAAAACACTTACAGGTGTATAACTGTCAATAAAGCTTACAGGTACATTACTTTCAATAAAGCTTACAGGTACAGTACTGTCAATAAAGCTTCCAGGTGCATTACTGTCAAAGCTTCCAGGTGTATTACTGTTGATAAAGCTCACAGGTACATTACTGTCAATAAAGCTTACAGCTATATTACTGCCGACAAAGCTTACAAGTATATAATCGCGATAAAGCTTACAGGCAACCATGGCAAGTCCTGTTTATTCCCTAAAAATCCCTTATTTTAACACTGAACATTCCAAAGAGTGAACTAGTGAGACTTGGTGTGTTTTCCATGTGTCACTCATGCATAGGCATGGTGAGTGTACATCACAAATGCACGAATGAATAATGTCATTCAATGGTTGTGTAGCTGCTGTTAGATGCGGTGCGACTCACCTGGGAGCTCGATCCCTATCTGTGGCAAGAAGAGCTGTAGGTTGTGGAGCACCAGGTGGATTGTAGCGTACCGGATCAGACACCATGTGTAGGAGTTGGGGTCACTGTGTTGCTGCACGGTGGTCAGGTTCCTGCAGAGTAGAAGGAATGATTTGGCTCAATGATGTTGCCAATAGAATTTCACATACATGCTGGTATGTCAGTTAATGCGAGAGGAAATCCTGAAATAAGGCAAGTCATCGACTTAAGCCTCTTAAGTGAAATGTGTTAGCATGGGAATATTTATTCTTTCAGCAAACAAAGGATCTGGGGCGAAACTGTGATAATAACCCATAGAACTCTGTTAGCTAGGGGATACAACTCAAACAGAGACAGGGGTCTGTGACACACAGTGTATTTGGTCTGTCACTCCCACCATACTGAACTAAAGGATCCCTGTCACTACAATATACTGAACTAAAGGATCCTTGTCACTCACAACATACTGAACTAAAGGATCCCTGTCACTACAGTATACTGAACTAAAGGATCCCTGTCAATACAATATACTGAACTAAAGGATCCCTGTCACTTCAATATACTGAACTAAAGGATCCCTGTCACTACAATATACTGAACTAAAGGATCCTTGTCACCCACAACATACTGAACTAAAGGATCCCTGTCACTACAGTATACTGAACTAAAGGATCCCTGTCAATACAATATACTGAACTAAAGGATCCCTGTCAATACAATATCCTTAACTAAAGGATCCCTGTCACTACAATATACTGAACTAAAGGATCCCTGTCACTACAATATACTGAACTAAAGGATCCCTGTCACTCATAACATACGGAACTAAATCCCTCTGAAGAAGCATTATGACTCACAGTGTATTTGGCCTGTCCAATTCATCTTCATCCTCTGTGTCACACTGTTCTGACACATCAGACAACATGGAATCTTCAGAGTCATAGCTGATGATGGACTCGGAGCTTGGGACAAACGGCTGGAAATATTGATTTGCAATTTTAACAAGACACCATCACCTAATATCAATAATGATTATCAGTAAAACTTAAATCAATAGACCTGAATATAAATAATTATTTAAAACTTAGTTGATTACCATGCACTCTTTAACATGTTTATAGTAAAGATACAAAGTTAAATATATTACAAATTCTGCCAACAAGACAACGCAATTCTGATCCCATAAGGCAAAATCAACACAACAGTTCAGTTGAATAGCAACTTCAGGCAAAAACAAACTGGTATGAACCATCCTGGCAATAATCTTGCACAAAGTAAAAGGCACGTTCTTGCACAATGTTTGCTGATCTGCAGTTACCTTGGTCATGAAGTAGGTGATCATGCTGAGCTCTGGAGGCAGGAACCTCTCCTGGAATGTTTCCCTCACATCTGAGGGTTTAGTAAAGCCAGGGGATGGGCCTATCAGCTTCATGTTGAGACGATGACGCTGTTTCGCATTATCATCAGCGGAAGAATCTGCAGGCAGTTTCAGTGAATAAACCTATGGCATCTTTGCTTAAAAATTTCAGGTGCAAAAATATTCTATGCTATTATCAGTCTAAAAATCACCAATGTGTTCTATGTGCTTGTGAACTATATGAGCTACACAAACTGTAAATTGTTGAAACAAATACACCATTTTCTCAAATTTGTCATGATAAAGTGTTTTCTCCTTACTTCACCTGATCATCAATGCTTTTATGACTATTAAAGCTTTTTCAATTATGTTCCTATTTCAATTTAAATCACAGACCTACCGTGTATGGGTCTTTTTTAAAACTGTAACCAAGCAAAGAAACCATAATTCTGTGACTCACGGTTTGGAGGATTATTGCTGGATCTCATAACAGTCTTCACTCCCCCACCAAACAGAGCAGACCAGGTCTGCTGGTCAAACACATGGGCGGCCAGGCGGTACAGCATGAGCGGGTCGTACGTTGCCAAGCCATTGATCAACATGCTCACATACACAGATATCAAGGACTCGCACAGTAGGATGTTCAGTTTCGGGGCATCCTCATCTTTTTCGCGAGCTAGCAACACTCGGAGAGATGTCACTCCTGTGAAAGGATATGAAAGTTTACTACAGAATTAGTTGTCTCCATTACAAGTCTAATAATATCTTACAGTCAGTCATCTTCTAAGGAGAAAAGCCTGGGCCATTTGACAGTCCAGCAAATTTGATCCAAGTCTATCAACAGCTACTTTCTCTGTCTGCCAAATCAAATATCACAATTTATACCACTATAGCAGTTGACCTTAATTACACAGAGATAATATGTTTCATACATAGCACTAATTACAACAGCAAGATCACAACTGATCTGTGGAGCATAGTCCCTCGGTACACTTTGGTTTTTCAAAAGATCTCACCTGGCCACTTTGCTGGTTGAGAGTTGATAACTGCATCCCCCGACCCGCATCCTCGATGACGCTGCCTTCGCACCCCAGCCATCAAGTAGCTTGCTTGGCACACAAAGTTTGGACTGCAAAGGAGGAACGGATGTATTTTCAGTCATCACAAAAGGAAGAAATTCTTTCATTTTGTCCTAAACCAGTGGGTATGTTGGTTAGGAATAGTTTCAAGATGATTAAATGACAATCTGGTGGTTACAATGTTTGGAATTGCTGACCGTGTGTCCTCACACCCTGACTGTATGGATCACTGCTCTGCCTATCAACCACTGGTTTGAGTTTTGACATTTCACTGACTAGAGCTTGAATAATCCAGACTTGCATAAAACTACAAGCACAGAACTGGACCATGATACCTATTAATGCTTTTGCTTTGAATTTGTTCTAATGAACTTAACAGCATGCATTTCTTAATTACGAGCATGTATATCCTTATCACAATTAGTCAAAATTGTGGTCACTGGTGAGTTAGTGAATTTGGTCAAATTCTGCTTTGAACAGTATTTCAGTATGAGAGGAAAAACCAAAGCAATTCGACTGATCAAACAGGTCTCAGACATTAATCACTTTGGTGAAACCCACAAGCACAAGCCCAGAAACATAATCTGGGATTCGACCGCACGATCATAGGTTTCTGGCATGTCCATGGACGCAACTCTGAATAGTGAATTGCTCCACCTGAGACAACTGTGCGACCCATGCTCCAACAATTATCACTACTCCAGCAGCTAATGAACATGTTATCCATAACCTACCCAGTAAAACCTTCCAGTCCAACATCTTCATCATTGAGGGACACCACAAAACTGTCACTATCACAGAGACACTGGTAAATACACGAGGACAACGCGACCGCAAGATTTCTCAACAAGAACACATTTCCAACATCAGTCGCCAGATTGGGTGGGATGGGGATTTCAATGATGGTGTGTAGGATGTCCTGGGACAAGCACTGCAGGTAATGGATAGGATCAGCCACCACAGTCTTTGAGCTGGCGATACTGGCTGAGAGGAGGGGCAGCGTGGAGGGGAAGGGGAGGGGGGACAGGAGCTGCTGCTGGGGCTTCTCCTGCTGGAGCTCCTGCAGCAGCAGCAACAGCTCCATCCTCACAGAGGCCAGGCCCCCACCCCCAGAGCCCTGCAGGACACAGTAACTTAGAAGAGTCCTCAGAAGCTGTTGGTTGTTTTTCAACCACTGTTTTCTTCGTGCCATTCTTTCCATCTTGGCTTCCAGATCTAGTTTGTCAGCGAGGATGACTTCATGTAGCGATGCTTTGCTTGCAGATGTGTCAGACTTCACTGACAATGATCGACCAAACTTGGGAACATCCAGAAACTCATCAGAATCTCTACTAGCATCCAAGTTGGCTTTAAAAAATGAAAAAAAGGTTTAAACATATTTTACAATTCTAGATTCAATTTTACATATTAATGTTCTTTTTACCATAAAATTGGAAATTACAATACCTGATATCAATCTGAAACAAGAATTGAGCTCATGCTTTGAATATTTTTCAGTTCTACTTATATCATTGCTAGTTATGTAGTCTGTGCCAAAACATTTGAATTTGTAAGACCAAACTTGGATCTTAGCATTATCTTTTGTTATTAATGTTATCATATTGGACTTTTAGCAGAATTTTCTAGACCAAAAAGAAATTTAGTAGAATCAGGCTTCAGACAAGTGGTTAGAGTCACAGACTGCTCAGGTATGTATTGGAGGAAAGCCCAATGTTACACAGATGGTAAGATGACCACAGGTATGGTGATGACAGAGCAAAGATCATAATTGGAGTGATTCTTGGATTTGAACCAAAATTCAGCAGATCTGGGCATGGCTAAGAGATGCAACTCTGAAAAGAGATTTGCATAGATTTATACTGCTTGACAACCTGTTCCCCTGAAAGAAAAATATCTCCCTTAAGAATATCTTACTTTCTGGAAGTTCTTCTTCCTGTTGACCATAGTTACAGAGGACTCTGAGGACCTCAGCTTCTTTCTCCAGCCATATATAGAGTTGGTAGCGCAGTTGGCCACCATCAACCTCAAACCCAGTTGCCAAAGTTCCAAGTTCCTCCATCAACACTTTGAGACAAGCAATGAACTTGTACTGCTGCGCCATGATGTCAAGCTTCTGAGGAGTGGACTCTGCTGGCACGGAACTGTCATTAGTCTCACTCTTTGTCACATTCTCACCCTTACTGAACACTGACTTAGGCTCAATGTACTCCTCTTCTTCCTCTTCTTCTTCTGATGCATGTCCTATCATAGCAAGTTCACGGTCTAAATCATCATCAAATCGAACACCAAGTGATGGAGTTCCCCAGTCCATGTCACCTGCCTTACCATTCCCAACACTGAAAGTCACAGGTGTTCCCCAGTCCATATTGTCAGCAGTATCGGACTTGCCATTTGTCAACGGCCCATTCATATCTTTGTTAATATTTTTCAGGTTACCAGAGATGGGTGTGCTCCAATCATTCATACCAGTGTTGGATTCATCCTGCTCAGACAAAGTCCCCGTACTGATACAGCTCACATTAGATGGGTTCCTGTGCTTGTCTAAGGAGTACATCTTCTTGCCCTCCTCAGCATCCTCCACCATTGGGGGAAGCCGAGACAAAACCTCCAAGGCCATCAGAGGGCAGCCATTCTTGAAGTGAGCATGGGCTGTTGAGAAGAACAGCCTCCTCTCTGTTGGTGTGACTCGGTCAATGGTTGTGATGCTGTTGTCCTGCACAGCTACACTCTCGGCCCGAGTGAAACCAGTCATCACTCTTTTACGTCGGCCTAACGAGGCACATGCCAATCTCTGTCTCAGAAGTAAAGGATGAGTCCTGAGATAGTTATAGAAGTTAAACACATTTGGAGTAACTGAGGATGAGTCCAAATCAAATTGTTCATGGTCCATTTGTGGCCGTCCTATGTTGACTTCCACCAGAGTCTGAAGGGCTCCTTTGTAGTCCTTCAGCATCCATAGTGACATGCTCCTGAGGAAAGGATCCGGGTGAGCTTTGCGGCTGTCACAGCTCATGCCCTGCTCATCACAGCCTAGGATGTTCTCATATATGATCTTCTTGGCACTGTCCGGCATCATGTCCTCTCCATCATACAGATGGCTTATGACAAGAGCCAGCTGGATGTCATGGAGCTTCTCCAGGCACACCTGAAACACAAAACAATATTGAAGAAGGTTTGAATGTTTGTTGCTTAGCGTCACACTCAGCAATATTCCAGCTACATGACGTTGGCCTGTAAATAGCACTGTCTGGACCAGTGATAGACATTGTCACATGTCTTTGGGGAACGATGCCTTGCAAAGTTACATGAGTCACCAAGGAGGACAATCTGATCCAGTTAATAGCCTCTAACCACACTCATAGATTGCTTGAGACCTATTCTAACACAGAATCCGAGATCAGGCATTGAAAGGAACAATTAATTCTGAGGCAATGGCTTATTTAAGAATTGGCAGCAGGAGTTAAACATAGATTCTTTTTATTTCACCTCCCATCAGCAGCCAATCACATAATTTGATTTGCCTGGAATCAGTGAGAGTTCGTTTTTGTTTTGTTGGTTTGTTGTTTAACGCCGCACTCAGCAATATTCCAGCTATATGATGGTGGTCTGTAAATAAATTGATTCTAGGCCAGACAATCCAGACATTGACATAATGGGCATCCATCTGGGCAATTGAGATTCGATGTCATGCATCAGCCAAGTCAGTGAGCCTGACCACCTGATCCGGTTAGTCGCCTCTTACAACAAGCACAGTTGCCTTTTACGGCAAGCATGGGTTGCTGAAAACATATTCTAACACGGATCTTCATGGGTCAGAATCAGTGAGTGAGTGAGTTTGTTTTAAAAAAGGCAAAACATTATTTTGTGAGAAAACAATTTGCTTAGGACCTCATGCCTGAGAACCAAGATTAGTAATCTTGTTGTCAAACCACACTGCAACCTGAGTGATTGGTTCACCTCAATAGCATCTTTGAGTGATCCGGCCAGCAGGAAGAAGGCTGCTGCCGCCTGGAACATCTGGCGACCCAAGAGAGCAAAGGCGTTCTTCAATGCCGCCTTCCTCCATCTGTCCTGTGTGAAGTCGTTCTTGAAGAACATTTGCATCTTCTTGTCACTCACAGATCTGAGACAAACACAATACACAAACATTTATTATAGGGTTTGAGATTCTGTTTTGAGTGTGCGAATGTTGGTTCTGTCACAGTCAGCACTATTCCAGCTATAGGGCGGCATTATAATCATGATGACAAACTGAGTCTGGGGAAGCAGACCGGTGGTTGATTACATGAGCATGTTCCACTCCGTCAAGGTACAGTGAGTGAGTGAGTGTGTGTGGTTTTAGCAATATTTCAGAAATGTCACGGCGGGGGACACCAGAAATGGGCTTCACACTTTATACCCATGCCGGGAATTGAACCCGGGTCTTCAGCGTGACGAGCAAACACCTTAACCAGTAGGATACCTGACCGCCCCTCCGTCAAGTTACAACATGACATACAATCAACAAGGTGATGCATTATAATTACATCCCCATGTAAGCTATTATGACAAGCATGAGGTACTGGGGAACTATTCTTCCCTCGAATCCCCTTTGGAAATTAATATGATGTTTAACTTCTGTTACTCTACCTGTACAGTCCCCACAGGACATTCTTCTTCTTCATTGCCAGGAAGAACAGGGCTGCATCAAGAGGGTCCTTCTTTGCCTGGAAGGCAGCTTTAGCAACCTGGAGGCAACAATCACATCCAGCTACTTCAAGTTCGTGAATTTAGGACATTCACACACATATACATTCACATGAAACTAACAAAGCATGTATCAGTCAACCAGTCTACTACCAATTATAAATTCCTACATTCCCAAGTCATTACTTCATAAAACATAACCAAAACATGAATAAGGGACATGAGTTGGCTCCTGTGATGTATCACAGAGGTCACAGATCAAATCACTCTCTAAGGCATGGTTCAACTTTAAGCCAGCATATTAAAGGCATTTTCAAGGCTAAAAGTAAAACCCACAAGTCCTTGCAAACAGATTATAAGGAAATTGCTACTTTATTTCACGCTCAGAAAGATTCCATTTGAATATCCAAATACATAAAAAAAAAAAATTTAAGTCCACTCAAGAGTTTCATATTGTTTAGCAATCCAGTAAAAGACTCATTTATTATAATTGATTTCATCAGGCATTGCTAAAGAGAAAAATATTGGTAAAATATTTATAAAACAGCAGAGTCATAAATGGCTGCAAAATTCAAAGCCTTTCAAAGCATTTATCAAATCATGGTAGATTGAAAATGCCGGGATTAAGACCTTTTAAATGCCAGTCTGCCAAATTTGAGGCTTTTTCAAGGGTGTATGAACCTATTGTGTCATAGATTACCTTCTCAATACACTTCTTGAGCTGGCTGATGTTGGTGATCCACCACCCGGCTCCATACTGTTTCAGCTCCTCCCACGTAGGCTCCCCCTTCTGCATGCTGGGGATGAAGGACAGCAGCTCCTGGAAGTATACACACATCAGTTAACAAGGGACAGCAGCATATGGAGTTATACACACATCAGTTAACAAGGGACAGCAGCTCATGGAATCATACACACATCAGTTAACAAGGGACAGCAGCTCCTGGAATCATACACACATCAGTTAACAAGGGACAGCTACTCCTGGAATCATACACACATCAGTTAACAAGGGACAGCAGTGCCAGGAATCATACACACATCAGTTAACAAGGGACAGCAGCTCCTGGAATCATACACACATCAGTTAACAAGGGACAGCAGCTCCTGGAATCATACACACATCAGTTAACAAGGGACAGCAGCTCCTGGAATCATACACACATCAGTTAACAAGGGACAGCAACTCCTGGATTCATACACACATCAGTTAACAAGGGACAGCAGCTCCTGGAATCATACACACATCAGTTAACAAGGGAAAGCAGCTCCTGGAATCATACACACATCAGTTAACAAGGGACAGCAACTCCTGGAATCATACACACATCAGTTAACAAGGGACAGCAGCTCCTGGAATCATACACACATCAGTTAACAAGGGACAGCAGCTCCCGGAATTATACAATCAGTTATCACTTTAACCTTTCTCTGTCACTCAACCTGTCATTGGAGCCTTGCCATGTTGATTCCCTGCTACAACATGCAAAGTCAATAATGGAAACTTCTCAGTAAACAAGATTCATTTCATTCCTTTATACATGGTGTTCACGGTTCACAGAATCTGCTAGCTGATCTGTAAAGCAGAGGTGGCTCCAGGATTGTATACTATGCCTAAGATGTGATATATGTTGGCATGTTAGGTGTTTGACACAAACAGTAACAAAGCTGCAAATCCTCCTACCTCAGTAGCTTCTGTATGGAATGCCCAGACCAGCTGGAAGGACTTGAGTCCCTGTCTCTGCAGGGCCAGCTTCTGGAGAGGTGGCAGCGTACCCAGGAGGTAGTTGTGGTGCCGCATAGCCAGCAGGAACCGTACACCACAGTCATCCATGGACTCTGTCACAACAGTCAATAAACCTTACCATCAGTGAGTCATGTTCCTCTGATAGCACAGTACACAGTGACTGATGGGCTACGATCCTCGCCATCAATGTATGATGACACCAATCTGTGACAAAACCTTTCAAGCCCTTGGCATCATATTTTGTACAGTTTCGTGGAAGTTTATAAGCTGAGTTTACTAGATAAAAAAGCATTTAACTGCACTCAGGCTTGGGTCTAGTGGCCGAAGTCTGTGATACGCAATTAGCACAGTCACAGAGTCTGACCACAGATCCTCTTTACATGGTTCTTACAACAAGCACGGATTCTGGGGACCAAGTCTTCCCTTGAAAATTTACTCAACGATGATGAAGTACATGTTAACTGTGTATTCTCGATCTATCAATCTGACATAAAATTCAGCACAGAAGATTACCTGTGGCATGACTGATGTCTGCTTGGCCTTCTCCCATGCCTACAATGTCAAAACACAAATGAAATATGTTCTTAATCATGACTAACATACTCTCAATAGTAATCTAGGTAACACAAACACATCAGGTGGCATATATACTGCCACAACGATACATAAAGTACTTTGTTCATAATAAGATGCATATCACAAAACAAAGTAAAATAATGTCTTCTCAAACAGAAGAAAATACAAGCTTATTTGTGTACCAGCATCAATTTCTGATATTAAATGTCACTATACTTTAAGTGAATGGGTATTATTTTACACCATGTTTAGCAAAACTGCAGCCAATATCACATAAAAAAACACATATATATGACTGGAACGATTATTGGACTTTTAGATACAGTCAAAATGTACTCTAGTACTACTTCATAGACCATTATTAATGACTCAACACTTTAGGAAGACTCCAGTAAACTGAGGATCAACTTTCAGGAAGTTCTTAACTTACCTGTCTTAGGCTGATCGTGTGAGAAGTTTTCTGAGATGTCCACCTTTGTACTGGCCACTGTGTCTGCCAGAGCCATGAGGTACATCTGATCCAGACTGGACAGTCCAGGGAGGCGGATATGGAGGAGATGGGCCCCGAGGACCTTGCCCTGCTTCGGCCCGAAGTAGTGGGGATTCATTGCAGTGTGGCTGGAGGAGTGCATCCTGGTTCGCTTGGTACCAGAGCTGTCTGCAGACGTAGACAAGAGTGCTTCATCTAGAGAGTCATCGTTCATCACATCCCGGCTGAACAGCTCTGTGTAGTCTTCAGGGTGAGGGTTGGTGTTTGGAGCCGTTGCTGCTCCTGCTTTTGCGATTTCAACATTGACTCCCGTGTTATCCTCATCTGCAGCTAGTAAAGCATATATAGGTAGCGGTGGGATGGAGCTGATCTCGTTCACATCAACAGTTATCTCTTCTTCCAAGCGTAACTCACTTTCCTTATTGCTGGCCGACACAGACACACTTCGTGGACGTATTGATCTTACAGACACAAGCCCTTCCTCATTATCGAGGTCATCAACGTACACGGCCTGCATAGTTTCACTTCCTGCCATACACCTGGCCAGGTGAGCTAAGATAGCCTTCACCCTTTTGATTTTTCCAAAGTTCAACAACTCTATCAACTGTTTTGGATGATATTGGGGTAACACAGGGTTCGCTTGCCTTGCTGCCTCAAACAGACCAAAGTCATGTATTACACTTAGGCTGGTAATGCTGTCACTCCTTGAAAGACTGTTCTTTGAAGCTGCAGAACCTTGCTCTGATTTCTTCCACATTTCTTTCCTTTTGAAGCTGTTGTGAGATAGACTAGAATTAAAATGCTTAAAACTAGGCATGGAGTAAGATGGCTTGAAACTAGTCGAGGGTTTCTTTCCAAAGTTTGAAGAGCTTGCTACACATGACCGATTCACCTCATTTAGTGTTCGTTTGTCAATGTTGACATCGTCACCAGAAAGACTTTGGTTGTCAGCACCTGAAGCCCCTCGCCACTGAGAATACACATGCATCTCATTGTCCATTCCTAACACAAGGATGCCAGCTCGAACCCAAGATAAATGCATTGGCAAGGGAGGTAATCCATCTGCTGTAGTGAGCTCCAATGCTCGTAATCTCATCCAGCGAATTTCTTCTTGGTAGTTGTCAACGACAAGTGACTTTGACTTTTGCATCATAGGTCGAGATCGCGCAGTCAAGGTACTGCTTGTTGATTTCAACTGTTTCCCGGTGAAAGCCTTCAAAGATTCTTGTGAGATTTCATTGGATACCTGGATACAACAAAGACATTTGTACCATTGAGAGATATGAATTTGTAAAAAGTATAGAAGTTTCTGCTAATCTATTTCCGAACTTTGTTTGTGATCCTAGATGAATATAGCTGACTAACTATATTCCCAAACTACCCAAACTACTATCAATGATGTCTGTAAATGTAGATTGAGTTTGGCCCAAAAGCTATTAGTGAAAGTTCAATACTCTGCTGCCATATGACATTGACAATAAGAGGCATTAATGAGTTGAAGAGTGCCAGTACACAACTTTCAGCCCATGCACCAGTTTAAACCATGCACAACGCCACCCCTAATAATGAGTCCTTTACAGAAGAACGTCTCCAAAGACAATAACATAACTGCCAAAGAAATGTGATCTCATAGAACTCAAAAACATTACATCCTTACACAAACATACAATTCTCAGACTAGATCCTGACACAATTGCCAAAAGATCCTGACACAGCTGCAAAAAGGTCATGACACAACTGCCAAAAGGTCATGACACAGCTGCAAAAAAATCTTGACACAACTGCAAAAAGATCCTGACACAACTGTAAAAAAGATTTAGAAATAAGAGCAAAAACTGAGATCGCGACACAACTGCCAAAAGATCATGAAAAAATCATGACACAACTGCCAAAAGATCCTGACACAACTGTCAAAAGATCCTGACACAACTGCCAAAAGATCCTGACACAACTGCCAAAAGATGACACACAACTGTCAAAAAATCATGACACATCTGCCAAAAGATCATGACACAACTGCCAAAAGATCATGAAAAAATCATGACACAACTGCCAAAAGATCCTGACACAACTGCCAAAATATCCTGACTCAACTGCCAAAAGATCCTGACACAACTGCCAAAAGATCCTGACACAACTGTAAAAAGATTTAGAAATAACAGCAAGAACTGAGACCCTTGCACAACTATTAAAGTTGCTGCCAGGGTGCATCTCCATACCTGTGAGTACATCAACACCTTGGATCCAACTCCCACGGTGAGGATGTGTGAGCCGTCCTCAGCTGACACCCAGTCCAGCTGCACCAGACACTTCTGCATGAGGAGCCCCAGCTTGTTGCCCTGTTCCGCTATGGACTTCCTCACTGTGTGGATGGTGCTCAGGCTTGGCACCGACTTTGTGCGGGGAATGTTTGCAAATGATGAAGAAGGGGAGAGGCCTCCCACTGGTTTGGAGGCTGACCCATCGGAGTTAAAGATCTGGGCCAGATCAATCTCAGCTTTTGGGTCGGGGATTTTGATGTTTTTAAGTTCAATGGTGTCCTCTAGAACCCATTCAGATCCACCTGTAGGAACAGACATATTTCTCAGGGTTTTTTTCTATACTAGCACACTGTGGAAAAGCATTTATGTTTCCTTATATATTAAAAATGTTAATATAGTATTCATTGATTATTGTTTCAGTTAAAATAACATATTGAAAAGTGCTTACAATTAATACAATTTCAATATGCATTGTCTTAAGGTATAATGTTAAATTTGGAATCGTATATGATTATACTTGTAGAGTAACGTGATTGCATGAAATCATTATACATAGACTGGGATTAAAATCTGAATTATTTCTTTCAGCTTTGTTATTGAAGGAATACATTTTGTCAGAACATCACAGAGATATGATAAGCCATGCTGCATATTTGCCTACCTGTTGATTCGCATTCATATATTGCAACATAAAGGTTGACAAACTTGTCGTGTGGGTTTTCCGACATTGCTCGGATTGCACCATGTCTGTAGGCAACAGCGATTCTCCCACTGTAGGCACAGCACACAGTAATAGGCTTGCCTGAATAACAAGAAATCACTCAACAATTCAATATGCATCACGTGACATGTGACATGTGACATGGACATGTGTTCTGTGAAATTACATGAAAACTTCCCGGTAAGGCTACGTTGGGGTCATGTCACCTATTTTGCATGTAATACACACAGGTTATCCTAGTGTGGGGTCAGGTGACCTATTTTGCATGTAATACACACAGGTTATCCTAGCGTGGGGTCAGGTGACCTATTTTGCATGTAATACACACAAGTTATCCTGGCGTAGGGTCAGGTGACCTATTTTGCATGTAATACACACAGGTTATCCCAGCGTGGGGTCAGGTGACCTATTTTGCATGTAATACACACAGGTTTTCCTTGCGTGGGGTCAGGTGACCTATTTTGCATGTAATACACACAGGTTATCCTAGCGTGGGGTCAGGTGACCTATTTTGCATGTAATACACACGTTATCCTAGCGTGGGGTCAGGTGACCTATTTTGCATGTAATACACACAGGTTATCCTAGCGTGAGGTCAGGTGACCTATTTTGCTTGTAATACACACAGGTTATCCTAGCGTGGGGTCATGTCACCTATTTTGCATGTAATACACACAGGTTATCCTAGCGTGGGGTCAGGTGACCTATTTTGCTTGTAATACACACAGGTTATCCTAGCGTGGGGTCATGTCACGTATTTTGCATGTAATACACACAGGTTATCCTAGCGTGGGGTCAGGTGACCTATTTTGCATGTAATACACACAGGTTATCCTAGCGTGGGGTCAGGTGACCTATTTTGCATGTAATACACACAGGTTATCCTAGCGTGGGGTCAGGTGACCTATTTTGCATGTAATACACACAGGTTATCCTAGCGTGGGGTCAGGTCACCTATTTTGCATGTAATACACACAGGTTATCCTAGCGTGGGGTCAGGTGACATATTTTGCATGTAATACACACAGGTTATCCTAGCGTGGGGTCAGGTGACCTATTTTGCATGTAATACACACAGGTTATCCTAGCCTGGGGTCATGTCACCTGTTTTGCATGTAATACACACAGGTTATCCTAGCGTGGGGTTCAGGTGACCTATTTTGCATGTAATAATCTCAGGTTATCCTAGCATGGGGTCAGGTGACATATTTTGCATGTAATAATCTCAGGTAAGACTAGCATGGGGTCATGTGACCTATCCTGTCCCCAACACTCACAGTTAAGACAAGGACAAAAATGAGGAGACAACAATGGTGCAATCAAGTGCAGACATTTGTTGTTTGCGCGTCACCTAAGCTGGCGTAATAGTGTGTCAAGTGAATATGCAAGCCAGATAATGTGTGGTATAGTCTATGAATCAAGTGCAGCAATAAAATTCTCCCTCTCCTTATTGCACTGAACACTGAAATTCAAGGCGTCTTTCAATATCCAATTTCAAAAATTGTAAACAATAGAATACATTGCATGCTAAATCAAAACCCTACCACCCAACAGACTGCGTGACTTTTCACTAAGTAACTACAAACAGACCCTGGCACCAAAGAAACCCACATTTCCTTGTTGTTTTGTAAAAGTGGAATCTTTTCAGTATCCCTATCAACAGGTGCTCAGTACAGTTCAGCCCCTACCTGGTATAGTTATTGCACTGTCACTGTGGCACGTGTTCATCATCTCCCACTCTGACCATGTGTAATCCGTGTCGTAAGGTTGTGAACACACGCGTGTCATGACTGCTGGTCGTCTTGGCCTCGCCTCCTCCTCCAGGCTGTACTCGTAGCTGGTGATGCTCAAGAAGCTCTCCTTGTGCTGCGTCGGAGACGCACTCTGGCTGGCCTCCGTCACATCACACTTCCAGAACCGCACATCACCATCAGAACATGCCGTCACCAGCAGATACGGAGCAAAGCATGCTGGGTAGATGGAGGCCGAGCTAAGATGGCCAGCAGCAACATTCACACAAAGAACCTGCACATCTTCCGGGAGCATCAGCATTTGATTGCAAACCTGAAGAAAAAGATGTTACTCAACATCATAGTTCATGAATCATGTTCAAATCTTCATGCATCATAAATAGTTTTTCATTTAATTAATTTTTGCTAGGAGTACCTATTTGATCTCATAGTCAAGAGCAAGTTGTTCAAAGGTCATAATTCACATACATTTTTGATTATTTAAAATGAAATCCAACTTCTCGTAGAGAAGAATCTTAACGACATGCTCTGAGTACTTCAGTAATATTAATGGTGTCTGGAGAGAAGAACTTGGGAGTGATAGCCATATTCTTCATTTAAAGGTCATGTTGTGGCGATCACTTCTAATTGAAAATGAAAACTATACATATAAAGGTATTTAGTAGTTTCAGAAAAGAAGATATTCTAAGTGAGATGGACCAATATGCAAATGGATAAACCCCTATGACTAAAGGTCAGTCAAGGATAAAACATCTCAATAAAATTATGATAAATATTCTCAAGCAGAATATGTGTACAGGCCGAGTGCAAGTTTTCCGTCCTTACCTTGGTGGTTGTGATGGACATGGTCATGACTGATGCCTGTCTTATGAGGTCTGGCTCATCAAAGGAGGCTCCTCGGAATGGGGAATTCACATCAAACTCATGGCGTATGTAATCACCTACAGGATTAGCATTGCACCGGTTGCCTGGAAAAAGGAAATAGAGGCACTTTCAAACAGTAGGTCAAACCTTTTTCCCAAAACAACTCACATTATTATTATCATACAACTCAGCGTTAGAGAGTTGCCAAACAGCGTAATAATTAAAAACTTGTAGAAATTTGCCATTTCTTAGGGGTTTTGCTATATATTGTCACCATAAGGACTAGAGGACTAAAACTGTTCTGCAGAAACTGCTCAGTCCTAAATGTTGATCATGTCCGGTTCAAAATTTAAGAATGCTCGGACAATACTTTTTAAAATGTCCAGACAGAAAAATTTAAATGGCCGGTAAGCAATATTTTAAACCGGACATTTGAGATTCCCAATCGGACATGTCCGGCGCATATGACGGTTTCCGGACCCCTGGCTGTAACTGACAGAAACGTGGGTGCAATAGTAGACATGCTCTAGTTTTATGTAAGAACAATTGATGAGGTTTTCTAAATAGAAGGAAGCCATAAACTGTAACTTGGAGTGTTTCAAAACATGACCCTTTGATGTATGTGATGCATGCTAATCTGTTGGAAACCTGTGAGAGAGTGAGGTGGGTCTTTTAATTGCTCTTAAAACAAAATTCCAGACATAGTCATGGTTGGAGACACACAGAATAGACCAACACTCTTTTTCTAAAACAGCAAGGCATTTGCTAATCACACCGAAGATCTGGGTTCAATGCACGTCCATGGGTATATGTGTGAAGCCCATTTTTCGCTCTCCCCTGCCGTGATATTGATTGAATATTCTAATATTAACATAAAACCATACTCACTCACTCGGTCATTTAACAAAAGGATTAGTTATTCTGGTAAAAGTGCAACTTCTTTTAAACAGCAATGCAGACAATGAATTGTTGAAGTGGTACAAATGTTCATATCAAATACAAGACCAAATCTAACATAACATAATAGAATCATAATGATTAAGTCTTGGTCCGCCAGAGATATCGAACCCATGTTAGACCATGATCTTGCGGACCGTGCACCACCACAAAACCATGAAAGAAGATATTTATTGAGAAGTACTTCCTTCGCAAGCATGCACGTTTAGCAATTCAAATACTGCATGCTTCAGTTCCCATATTATGTACAGCATGGTTGGCAACATATTTCACATTTCTGACAAACAAATACTTAGAGAGTGCATTGTAAAATTTAATAACACCAACAAGGCTTGACTTTGGGAGTACTCTACCACAAACTGTGAAGTCATGTCTACCATGTCACACGCTTTAGTGAGTGAGTGAGTGAGTTTGGTTTTACGCCGCTTTTAGCAATATTCTAGCAATATCACGGCGGGGGGACACCAGAAATAGGCTTCACACATTGTACCCATGTCGGGAATCGAACCCGGGTCTTCAGCGCGATGAGCAAACGCTTTAACCACTAGGCTACCCGACCGCCCCCGTCACATGTTTTAGACTACCAATATGTAGAACTGGAACACCTACTCATGCACAAAACATTCCAAAAGCTGCTTCATTGTCTCTAGGGATGTCAGTTTGTCTTATGCTGACAAGATTTCAGCCGACATGATTTTATTGTGTCGCATTGAAATGCTTCAAGTATTATGGTGAAATCTATGGTTATAAAGCACACATATATATGCAGACTAAAACCTATCTTCATTGACACCTGTATTTGTCATTTCAACATACTGAAAATATAAGGCTTAACCAATGCCACATCACTAGCCATTGTGTCATAGTAGAATGGGGGCACACAGTTTCGAATATTTACAGGTATCATATCTGGATTTGAAACCTCTAAATTGAAATCCATGGGCCCGAGACCGACGTTACAGTGAGGGATGACTGTATATATACTGTTGTCCTGTTCCTGTATTCTACCACCTACTGTTTCTCCTTTGGTTGTACATAAACATGTTTAAAATGTGCAAACAATAAGCGGAAAGGGTGTTCTAAATTGTTTAACTGGTTCAAAATCCAATTGACTTTTGTACGTAAAATATGTTTAAACTAAAACATAAAAGTGTTCTGCGGCTACTTATATACCAAGAGTAAGGATACAAATATACAAATGATTTTAATCTTAATATACACATAAAATAGTGACCGTCTTCAATTTAAGACAGAACAAAAGTGTCATCTTCTTACGGACAATCTGATATGTCAGCCACCATGAGTGTGGGTTTAATGGTGATATGCACTGCAACCATAACTTCTATCCAGTATTCTTATCTCATGACAGTGCACATGAAAAAATATAATCAGCTGTAAACAGATAAGGAAGGGCTTGGACACAGTGAGTGAGTGAGTGAGTATGGTTTTACGCCGCTTTTAGCAATATTCCAGCAATATCACGGCGGGGGACACCAGAAATGGGCTTCACACATTGTACCCATGTCGGGAATCGAACCCGGGTCTTCGGCGTGACGAGAGAATGCTTGGCTTAGACACAGACTGAAAGCAAGGGACAGATAACTCTAAAGTCTTACCCTCCGATTGACTGTTGAGCTGGGACGAGATGGTGATCTTCCACATGTGGAGCATGGAGCCTCCACTCACGTTGCGCTCCAGCACCACCAGGTAGAAGTTCTCCTCGAAGGAGCTCATGTTCCTCAGGTCCACGATGGCCTCCATGTTAGGGCCCCCTAAATCACCGGACGAGAAGCGTCCCGTCACAAGCTGTTCTTGGAACACGTGCAGGAGCTGGATGTTCTGCCAATCCTGTTAACATCAAGGGCTTTGGTTAGAGAAAGTCCTTTCATCAGTATTTCAGTTGTTTGACATTGAGCAACACAGTCAAGTGTCTATCTTACAAATCCTATTGTGACAAACCTGAAAGTGTGTGAGTTTGGCTGAACACTGCTTTGACAGATCTCAGTAATAATCATTGCAGGTCCCCAGTGAGGAGAAAGCCTGAAATGATGCAGGTCTTAGACATTTACCACTTTAGTGAAACCCATGAGCACAAGAATGGTGCTGACAAACCAAACACTATTGTGGGATCTGGGATTCAAACCCCGAATCAAAAGATTCTGACATGACTAAGGGATGCAACTCTGCACATCAAAATTGTACCTCCTCAGAAGTGTCACCTTGCCCCCCTTAGTTTAGAGCTGTACAATAGCTACATCACAATTATGAAAGACACTGAGTTAACAAGTTGCACCAATCTTACAAGATCTTACAAAGAATAGCCTTCGCCAAGCTTGGCATTACAGATTATCATTTGGTGATGTAATGTTGCCGTTAGCAAAATTCCAGCCATGCCGGGTCTGTAAATAATCTAATCTGACACACAATCAGGTCACACATTGTGACCACACAACCCTCATTAGTCATCTCTTACGACAAGCATGGAGTACCGGAGAGCTCCCTGCCCCGAAATCCCAATGGGCATACAGCCCCATCAGTGAGTAAGTATGATTTTACACCACTTTTAGCAATATTCCAGCAATATCACGGCGGGGACGCCAGAAATGGTCTTCAGCATGATGAGCGAATGCTTTAACCAGGAGGCCGGCCCGACCGTCCTGCAGTCCAATGACTGTGAACGTCCAGACAATGACATCATCACCTGCTGGGCATCGTTGATCCCCTGCAGCTCCATGATACATCCAGGTCTCGCCGATGACTGCTGACTGACGATGTTGAACACTTCACTAGCAGCTCGCACTGGGGAACCCATGTCACCATGGTAACTAGAACTTGTTGTGCTGGAGAAGCTGAGGGCTTGCTGCAAAACAAAGCGTTCCTTGCGGTTAATATTAAGATGATTTATGCACTTAGGTCTGTTTGCATTTAAAAACATGAATATTCTAACCATATCATTACTCCATTTGAAGGCTTTTCAATAGCTTAGAATGAAATCATTACACAAAATGCAGAGCTTCACATTGCTGACCAATAATACCAAACAAAAGAACCTTCATTTCTGAACATATGGGTCCGTTGATATGACATAGGACCTGTTTCATGATGCAGATACAGGGCCTCATATGCTCAGTTATCAAGGGATGTACAGTTTTCAAAATGGGTCAGTAGGTTTAATATTCTTGAAACAGATACATACAAAGTATCACTTGACCAGTGACAACTGAAATCAATCTGGAGCTCTGTGTCTGTTTTGAGTCATTGTTTGCATGAACTTCTAATATTACAAAGACCTACATCTTTCCTCTGTACTGAAGCATCCATGAGGAGAGTTCTGGCATCTATCACAGCTTGATAAAGTCTCAGACAGTTTCCATCTGATGCCACAAACAGTGCACTGGGGGAGTTACTGTAGGACCCCAGGGAGGTACTGCAACAAACACGAGTGGACTCAGTCACAGGTATACCAATACAGGCATCAAGTATTTACTCAGTCACAGGCATACCAATACAAGGCATCCAGTGTTCACTCAGTCACAGGCATACCAATACAGGCATCAAGTATTTACTCAGTCACAGGCATGCCATTACAAAGCATCTAGTGTTTATTCAGGTATACCAATACAAGGTATCCAGTGTTTACTCAGGCATACAAATACAAGGCATCCAGTGTTCACTCGGGTATACCAATACAAGGCGTCAAGTATTTACTCAGTCACAGGCATACCATTACAAAGCATCCAGTGTTTACCCAGGCATACAAATACAAGGCATCCAGTGTTCACTCAGGTATACCAATACAAGGCATCAAGTATTTACTCAGTCACAGGCATACCACTACAAAGCATCCAGTGTTTACTCAGGTATACCAATACAAGGTATCCAGTGTTTACTCAGGCATACAAATACAAGGCATCCAGTGTTCACTCAGGTATACCAATACAAGGCATCAAGTATTTACTCAGTCACAGGCATACCATTACAAAGCATCCAGTGTTTACTCAGGCATACCAATACAAGGCATAAAGGGTTTACTCAGGCATACAAATACAAGGCATAAAGGGTTTACTCAGTCACAGGCATACCATTACAAAGCATCCAGTGTTTACTCAGGTATACCAATACAAGGTATCCAGTGTTCACTCGGGTATACCAATACAAGGCATAAAGAGTTTACTAAGGCATACCAATACAAGGTATCCAGTGTTTACTCAGGCATATCAAGACAAGGCATTCAGTGTTTACTCAGGCATACCAATAAAAGGCATCCAGCGTTTACTCAGATATACCAAAACAAGGCATCCAGTGTCTACTCAGGCATACCAATAAAAGGCATCCAGTGTTTACTCAGTGACAGGCATACCAATGCATGGAAATATCTGGAATATGGACACTGATAACTGTCTACCACAGTATCAGCAATTTTTTCAACTTTGGAGCTATTCACAGCAGGCTATTTCACAGAATGAAGCGTACCCTGTAGCCATAGATCATGTCAGACATCTTTAATTTAATCAGTACATTACACATAGAATAAAAAAAGCCATATCATCAAAGTCATCTTACCTAGGTAACAGTGTTGGCACCCATGCCACATTGGAGAAGGCCGAGATGGGAGGAGCATTAATCCTAGCCAGCTCAACGATTCCTCCGGACTTAGACAGCGGACCGACTGGGTCGACTCTCCAAAGAATGAGTTCACTACAGAATGAGAACCCTCCATGACTTTCTCCATCATCATCTGTTGCAGAATCCTTCTCTGGAGACTCCTCCTCGGGAATGTTGTGATGGGATGTTGTGAGCAACAACGGTAACACTGGATGACATGATGCAGAGTTTGTTCGGAATCTATGGCCACATGCTCTAGAAGCATGTGCTACACTGACAATTGTCTGAAACTTGGAGTTATCGGAGAAACTAATCTGCCACTGATTAATGCTTCCGTTGCTGTGTTTGGAAATCATAAGTACATTTGGAATCAACATATTGTCATTCTGACCGGGAGAGTTTTTCCCTGTCGCTGTGGCAGGCTGTCCACTGTGTCGAACAAATCCCTCGTGTTCCATCATGGACACTTTGCTTTCACTCATCTTCATGGCTGACTTGATGTCCATCTTGCTGTAGTTGCAGTACATGAGGACGTTGCTGGCCATGGTGCGAGCGTCGGGGATGGGAAATGCGTTGGGCAGTCGGGATGAGAAGCTGACTTGTGCCTGACGGAAACAGTACGGGTTACACTCATCCAGCCAGTCAACTAGCCTGAAACGAAAGCAAGGGAGATCATCCATGCTCATCAGAAGTAGAAAGTTCACAACCATGATGACTGTCAACACAAATTAATTACAATGAAGATCTTTAAAGTGAGGCCCATTTATATCCTGACTTCAGACATCCTGCTGTGTTGCATCAAGTATTTGCATCAAGTGGGCCAAATGGCCCATCATCTCCTAAAAAAAGTGGGATCTTGTCTTTGGATAATATATTGTTGAAACAAAAGATTAACTACAAAACATCAATCATCTTCAATCATTTATCCACTTTCAAAATCATGCAGATATGGACGTTAGATTTTGCAACCAAAATAGTTAGATTCTCATAAAACTAGTTCACTGTTCTAAACAATCAAAATGTCCATGAAAGCAACAAAATTAAATAATATTTAACCTCCAGCGATAAATTGTTAGTTAATTACAAATATTTTAGCCAAAATATTAATCTATATGGCCAATATCTTGCAACATGATGTTTTGCAGCAGGTAAACAGAAATAGAAGACTGTATGAGTTACAGATAAACAGTAGAGTCAGACTGTGTTTATATGTCACCATGGTCACAGAAATAAAAAGACTGTATGAGTTACAGACAAACAGTACAGTCAGACTGTGTTTATATGTCACCATGGTCACAGAAATAGAAGACAGTATGAGTTACAGATAAACAGTACAGTCAGACTGTGTTTATATGTCACCATGGTCACAGAAAACAAGCATGATATAACATCAACATTTCCACGTTCTGGCTCAATGTGAGCATGGTGAGAGGATACAACACACTGTACTGCAGAGTGTGGGGAATGTATACTGTGTTGGTTCCCACCACCAAGCTGACAGTGGAACTCACCACACAAGAAAGCTGCCATCGACTGGGTGTATGCTGAACAACATGTCAGAACTCTGATGCCAGTCTCGCAACAGCACTTCGATCTTCCGATCCAACGACTCCACAATCGAACTCTGAAATATCATAGATGGTAGTTTCACTTTGACTTCAACAAAATTTGAAGATTATTTTACTTGTTTGAGTGATTGAACATTTTCTTAAGTCACATCACAGCATGTCAACCTAATACAAGGAAAGCCCATAGTGACCATGGTTGTCTGTGACCTTTAAGTGGCATTTAGAGTAAGTGAGTGAGTATTGTTTTACGCCGCTTTTAGCAATATTCCAGCAATATCATGGCGGGGGACACCGGAAATGGGCTTCACACCTTGTACCCATGTTGGGAATTGAAGCCGGGTTTTCAGCTTGACGAGCGAAAGCTTTAACCACTAGGCTACCCGACCGCCCCAGTGGCATTTAGAAGCAGTAGTGTCAAGCCATAATAATGATTGATAAGGGTACTAACACATTACTGCAGTCAAAATCCACAAGTCAACCGTGTCCTCAAGACCTTGTTTGTTTGTTGTTTAACACCGTACTCAGCAATATTCCAGCTATATGATGGAGGTCTGTAAATCATTGACTCTGGACCAGACAATCCAGTGATTAATATTGTGAGCATCGATCCATGCACTTGGGATAGGATGACATGTATCAACGAAGTCAGCGAGCCTGACCACCTGATCCCATAAGTCGCCTCTTACAAAATCATGGGTTGCAGAAGACCTATTCTAAGCAGACCTTCACGGGTCCTGTGTTCAAGATGGTAGGGATTGAGGGAGCATTGTTTTTTGCAATATCATGGCAGGGGACACCACAAATAGGTTTCACACATTGTACCCATGTAGGGAATCAAATGTGGGCATTTGGCATAACAACCAAACCAAACTGAGGCTATCTCAGGGGCCCTCTTAAGGTTGCAGATGTTCATAACTTCTGTGAATCCCATCGGTATAGTCCAGTGCAAACATACCAATGCTCCAAAATGGTGTGAATCTGAGATAGACACCTATGACCACTGAATCCTGGCTGCCCAGGCACTAGAGGTGTAACGATACAGTGAGGGTATGTCCTGATATGATTTGTATCCCGATACACTATTTATATTTCATAAGTTGATATTCTTATATTTTGTAGGTGGGTCACAACTCTGAATCACTTGTTTGTAAATTTCAGAGATCAAAGATGGTATATTGTAGGGCAGAAACATAAAAGCCATTGGGCACTGTGAATGTTGTGCTATTTATAGCCAGGCGGGAAATATTAGTGAATATGATGTAACCTGGTTGTTGAACAGTTTCTGTTATTATTCACGTTCTTACACCAATATAACTTGTAACGTAATCAATCGTGACGCAGTGGTTGTAAATTGATGTATTGTATCATGGATCTCTTATCAGCATACAATACTGTATCGCCGTATCATTACGCAACTACAAGGCATGCAACCCAAGCACCACCATTGTACCCCCTCTATTTATTTACATCTTTCCCCAAATAAATAACAAGTGTGTAGCCGCAACACTGCTGCTTCCTTACTGAGATGTCGGTGGAGCTGCCAGTGCCCTCCTCTGAAGACATACTTGACATACTGTCTGTGTGGCTCCCAAGGCTCTTGTTGTCCTTATGGAAGTTCTTGTGCTTGTGTCTTCTTTTAAAGAATTTGTTCCTCTTCTTCTTACCATGACCTGCAAAATACAGATAATGATCAATCTGATCCTGTGCAGTGGACAAAGAACACACTGTATTCATATTATGAGTTGGCATAAACCCCACTTCCATCTTTATTTCAGTTTTATATCAGCGCCTCAGCTTAACATGCTTAAAGTGATGCAGATCATAGTGGTTTATAAGGTGTGGCATCAAATGACGCAGGTTGCAAAAAAATACAGGAACATAATATTGGAAGCAAGGTGGGTTCCAAGTTAATAAAGTAACGTAGAGGCCTGTGTCCCATTCAACAAAGAGACCCAAGTGCTGAGGGGATCATAACTTTAACCATACTTTAACATAGGCTTATGGTTGGTTGGTTGGTTTGTTGTTTAAGGCCGCACTCAGCAATATTCCAGCTATATGATGGCGGTCTGTAAATAATAGAGTCTGGACCAGACAATCCAGTGATTAATGTCATGAGCATCGATCCACGCAATTGGAATCTATGACATGCATTAACCAAGTCAGCGAGCCTGACTACCTGATCCCGTTAGTTGCCTTTTACGACAAGCATAGTCACCTTTTACGTCAAGCATGGGTTGCTGAAGACCTATTCTACCCCGGAATCTTCACGGGTCTAACATAGGCTTATGACCGTCATAGCGCTACAATCACTTTGTGGAACGGGACCTAGGGGTCTCTTCAGCAAAGCCATCTTAGAGCTACAACTGATCTTGGCCCTTGACCCTTTCCCTACTGAGACACCTTCTTCTCAGCATCAGCATGAACACTGTTTTGCAGAACAAGGCCTGGACTTGCAAGGTTCCTACCTGTCTCGTCCTTGTCAGCTTCCTGATCCTCATGGTCGTCCTCATGGTCGTGTTCATGTTCGTGCTCCTCGCTGTCAAACTCATGGCTGGTGTGGACCTCCTCCTTATGGCTCTCCTCAAACAGCATCTGCTTGTGGAGGTCCTGCAGAATGTGCTCAGCCTCTATAGTGAACTGCAGCTCCTTGTTGTTTAGCCAGTGGATCTTGAAGTTATGATCCACGTCGCCCTTGTTGCCAATAATTGGCTGAAGTGGAATGTCTACAACAGAGAAGGTCATACAGTCATCCTCCGTCAAACAAAGTGGTGTCACAGCAAAACATGCTTAACCTGGAATCACTCAACATATATCCTGCAGTGGTGGTCTACAGGGAAAACACAGAGCTGTATATATCCTGCAGTGGTGGTCTACAGGGAAAACACAGAGCTGTATATATCCTGCAGTGGTGGTCTACGGGGAAAACACAGAGATGTATATATATATATATCCTGCAGTGGTGGTCTACAGGGAAAACACAGAGATGTGTATAACCTGCAGTGGTTGTCTACAGGGAAAACACAGAGCTGTGTATATCCTGCAGTGGTGGTCTACAGGGAAAACACAGAGATGTGTATAACCTGCAGTGGTGGTCTACAGGGAAAACACAGAGCTGTATATATCCTGCAGTGGTGGTCTACAGGGAAAACACAGAGCTGTATATATCCTGCAGTGGTGGTCTACAGGGAAAACCCAAGAGCTGTATATATACTGCAGTGGTGGTCTACAGGGAAAACACAGAGCTGTATATATCCTGCAGTGGTGGTCTACAGGGAAAACCCAAGAGCTGTATATATCCTGCAGTGGTGGTCTACAGGGAAAACACAGAGCTGTGTATATCCTGCAGTGGTGGTCTACAGGGAAAACACAGAGCTGTATATATCCTGCAGTGGTGGTCTACAGGGAAAACCCAAGAGCTGTATATATACTGCAGTGGTGGTCTACAGGGAAAACACAGAGCTGTGTATATCCTGCAGTGGTGGTCTACAGGGAAAACACAGAGCTGTATATATCCTGCAGTGGTGGTCTACAGGGAAAACAGAGATGTGGCTAATGGTACCCTGAGTTTTCCATTATCACAGGTCAGGATTAGAAGCTCACCTTAATCTGAATCACCAACAAATGACTTATAAAAGCTTTGATGATCCAGAGAACATTCAGTTAAAGGGAGGCTAGGTATCAAGCAAGTTATCACCAACCGAGTAGGACATGTTATATAGCTATGAATTATATATACAGTGAGTGAGTGAGTAAGTTTGGTTTTATGCCGCTTTTAGCAATATTCCAGCAATATCACGGCGGGTATATGTACAGAGATTAACAACAACAAAGGCTTGAAACAAGGCTTCCCTAGGCTGAATTACTCAGTTGTTGATCACTGGCTTGTAGAAGGTTAGAGCATCTGAACCAAAATGTTGCATCGAAAGAATGAAACAAGTCAAAAATCATAAGTGAGCTCTATTGACACGAAAGCTCATAAATCGCCACTTGCAGAATGGTGGTGGTGACTCCACTGACCTGTCTCTGGGTTGATGCTCCCAGCCAGGTGGAAGTGCAGTACCGGGGACACACCGTTGTGGTGGATGGCGAACTTGTGGAAGTCATGGACGCTGCCCATGCTGGGGAGACTGGTCATGCTCATCACAGTGTCAGGGCCGTACTTTGGGTGCTTCTTACGCTTGTGGATTGCATGCCTGAATACAAATCATACGGGAAATTCCATCCTGTGCCTTTCACATCAAATGATCAAAACAAGTGGATTAAAATAGCAAAACTCCAACAAGACACTTTCATTTCTATCATTAAGTAAACAAAGTATATTAATTTGACGACCCCATTAACTTTTGAGACCATCTAGAAAATATAACAGTGCTTCACCTCGCAAACAAACAAAATATCAAAATGCATGTCTCTAATTTGACTGAAACTATTGCAGCCTAACTGTTTATATTACAGTATAATGTCCTTACCAAATCACAACCTAAATATTGTACAATGTATGTTCATAAATTAAAAATGCAAAGTTAATCAAAATGTCTTTCCTTTGTACAAAATGGTAAATTGGAGTTACATTTGTTGATACTGCCAGTAAATGGATCGTTGTTCCCTGATCATGTCACATTCGAAAATTCATGTCACATTGCAATGCTATTCATGTTGCAATGCTATTCAGTGCTATAGCAATGCTATGCTATTTAAAATCAAAGGAATATTTTGAGCTGGGTTCAACAGGGTTCACACATGGGACCAAAGCAGGGAAGTGAAATCGGCCTTCAGCCTGATGTAACCACAAGGCTATACTGTTGGAATAAATAATAATGACTACAAACAGATGAGTAGCAACAGCTAGCATTGCCTACCTTATAGTCTTAAGTCTCTGCAAGAACCTCTTCTTGTGACGGTGTGTATGAAACTTAGGATCAAGCTGTCCACTGGGGTCAAACTGCTCTAGGTCCAGAAGACCATCATCTGGGAGGATAGTTTCACACCAGATCCGACATACATTGTCTAAGCAGGATGTCACCAACATGTTGGCCACAGAACCTCTGGCAGGAAAGAATAATGAATTAAGTCTAACGTCAGAATGCCTTTATTTTGCTAAAATCTTACATTCGATGACACTGATGTGTATTTTTCATTTCTCTTTTCAGATGAAATCATGTAAATCCCACAATAACCATTAAATATGAATGTCATAAAATATATAACATGATTATCCAAGGTCTCATCACTGCCGGTAAAGTCAGGACAATCCATACTGACCAAACATCATAATAAGGCTGACCTACAGATTAGGACCCACTATCAGCTGATCCTGGCATGGCAAAGGGATGCAACTCTGCATAGCAAATTTCCCCATCATGACATATATATGGGCTATGTGGACCCCTGACACTGCTTTCAAGTGTCTGAGTTATCTCCCTTACCTTGGCATGAGCAAATTCCAGCACCACAGACATCTGGGCAATGCATGCCCCTGACACTGTTATCAAGTGTCTGAGTCACCTCCCTTACCTTGGCATGAACTTGCTTGTTTTCCTCCAGGAGAAGCCAGTGACAGCACGAGGGTGAGAGATATACACAAAAGAGTAGTGCTGTTCCTCCACCTTGGGACTGATACTGTCTGACCGGATTAACTGGGGGCTCACTGAAACAATAAACCAATCTACTGCTGAACACCTTGTAGGGTCTTCGGAAAGCAAACACTTTAACCACAAGGCAACCTGACTGCCCCTGGCACCTTGGACAAATATGCCACCCATGTCCCCAGGGGTTGAGAGTGACACAAAGTTGTAACATGTTACTGTACATCATCTTTATCACAAACCTCTGAGAAGTGTTACACTCTTTCTGGGTTCAATTACACACATTAACAAGGTCACATTTGACCACCTTAACCTCTTTTCAGTCCATTCCGAAATCAAAAGCAGGATTTTCCATTCCAAATAACACTTTTTTAAAATACCCGCCTGCCCGACAGTCTAGACGGTCTATTTTGCTGACGGATGGTCAGTTTTGAAAAGTTGCATGCCTGGTGGTCGTGAGTTAAAGTTACAAAGTTGTCAATCCACCAGGGTTTTTATATCTTCTGAGAACTAACATTAAACAGTACTATTCTTATGTTTACCCTTTCGTTAATTTTGTTCGTCAGTCAAGGAAATTCTGGACTGGCAACATTTTATCTCGTCAGGTAACTTTGCAATGTCGTCAGTCTGGTTGTCTGATTGAAATTTTAGGAAATTTTATATACTGCAAATAACACGTATTCAAATGAGATGAGTCAGGTCACTGACGAAGATTGTACAGGTTCCAAGTGTTGTTACACAAGTTAGCACAATCCTTTGAACGTAAAGGAAAGTGTATCCCTCACAACTACTGTTGAAGTACTGGACATCTTCACAAAGTAGTTCGGCAGTGTTTGTCGTGTAGTTATAAGATCATTTGACAAGATTACAATGGACAAAGATGCAGTCATACATGATTGACAACTGCTTGATCAACTTGCGTAAACAAATTGACCACACTTGAGGCAGAACTTGTGAGGAGAACTGGCTACATCTAGAGCACAATAACAGTTAATTGTGAGTTTTGTTATGTATGTCATTGTTTCTGCCCAAGTGCAGTGAACTTGACATGACAATATACTCCAGTACATCCAGATAATGTGTCACTTTAATAATGTAAGAATGGGACACTCACATTTTTCACGTTAAATTCATAATTTACAGCATTTGAATCTGGGGACACCTTGAATCTTTAAATTTTAACATCAGTGCTACGACAAGGACTTCTTGAATTCCAAGCTTAACTCTAAACACTGCTATCTGTTGCTGAAACCTGTATCAAGGTACATGGTTCATATACTCACATTTTCTGTCTTCATACCAGATTTTGACGAGTCTGTCAGCCTGAAATAATATTCAAACACTGTATACATTTGACTTCACAGTTCTCATTTCTTCCACAAAAGACATGATAGATGACACCTGGCAATATTTATCTTTTACCACATACAAAACCATATATAACAGTGATATGTACATCCTCCAGTCTGTTAGTCTGAGACTAGTAACCATCTGGACAGACAAGTTGTTTTATGGAAAAATCTAGTTATTTTACTTAACCAAAATGAGCTGCAGACTAGTTGGATATGATCCATGGGTCTACCCCTGTAATATACGTGAACTGGATCATCGCATGTCAGTTAACTCATTAAATGTTAAAATGCAGCAGGTGCCAGGAACTCTGTGCTGCAGGGAGTTTCAAAATATCAATTTTCTGTTTCCTCCATACATACCTTGCCTGCTGAGGCAAATACATAACCATCAGGAGAGAACTTGAGGTGAAACACGGCAGAAGAGGGTCTGAAAACAACAGGTGCAAACAGTACTTCAGTAACCAACAACACCACTACACAACAACTACAGTCAATACAGACATATCTCAGTCAACTACAGTAGATAACAACAAACCCAATTCCTTAGAAGTGACTATCAACTATATAATTCACATGCATAACACACTGATTGTTAGGCCCTTCGACTTTGTCTATCCTCAATGATCTAGTGAATTATGTCTCCATTCTATTACGATAAATAGTCATACAGACCCATACAGACCCCTAGTTTTGCTATGAATCAAAATATGTAATGCTAACAATAGCCATCCAATCAAATTACATGGGCAAGAGATAAATATGAAGTTACTGAGAAAGACCAGTCACTTCCAAAACAAAGCCTTCACAGCGAATGGGTCCGTGTATTTATCATGATAGAATGGAGATATAATATCCTGGATAAGTGACGATGGAGACTGCCATATCCAGAGTAGACTGCAGAATAACCCAACAGATCAATAAGAGTATCTGTGCAGGTTTTGTGACTGACAGAAATATAACCATAAGACTACCCAACATCCTGTTCTGGTGTGAGGAGTAGACTTCAGCTGACCAGTGTCAGATGCAGAGATGAGATCTTGTTGGCTTACAAATCAGCAGAATTCCTGCATACTTCACATTAGTTATTCACATTATCAGAAGGGGGCACGGGTGGCCCAGTCGTTCTAAGGCGCCGCGATTCGCTGTGCAGAGTTGCGTCCCTTGGGCACGCCAGAAACCTGTGATTGTGGGTTCGAATTCCGGTTCACCCCGATTATGTTTCTAGTTTTGTCAGCCCCAAATCGTGCTCGTGGGTTTCACCGAAGTGGTAAACGTCTTAGACCTACATCACTCCGAGCTTTCCTCCCACATTACGCTGACACGCCGTGATATAACTGGAATACTGTTAAAAGCTGTGTTAAACCCAACTCACTGACTCACTCACTCAGAATATATCAGAAAATGACTTACATACAGAACATATATACTACACACACTTCTACAGAAAGACAGGCAAGTCTAAAGGAAAAACAGCTCAATAGCATCGGCACTCATAATGATGATGAAATGATGGCAAACTAAAAACACAGAATTTGAGTTGAAATATATCCTGTTCTTAAAATATTTTTATTTTTTTATTATGGCCGGCGACAATTAAATGGGAATGTCAGTCATGAGAGACAAGAAATATACTTTAAATAGCCTTATATGCTTACTTGCACTTCCACACACTGTCCCACTCGGTCACGTGAGGCTCGAAGCTTCGCTCCTTCTCTGGGTGCATCACATGACTGAAGTGCGTGTGTATTGGATCATCATCCTCGCCTCCTGATGGGCCAACGCTGAACTGTACTCTCTTGGAGGAGGCATCATCCTCACTGGGATCACGGTGGCTCATCTGCCAGATCTGGATTACCTCCCCTCCAGTCAGAAGTTTGGACCCTGAGACAACCAGGTCAGGGCAATGGGAATGTGTACATCTCATGTTAAAACACTCAAAGGGAGACAAGCAGGTCAGGGCAATGGGAATGTGTACATCTCATGTTAAAACACACAAAGGGAGACAACCAGGTCAGGGCAATGGGAATGTGTACATCTCATATTAGAACACACAAAGGGAGACAACCAGGTCAGGGCAATGGGAATGTGTACGTCTCATATTAGAACACACAAAGGGAGACAACCACGTCAGGGCAATGGGAATGTGTATATCTCATATTAGAACACTCAAACGGAGACAACCAGGTCAGGGCAATGGGAATGTGTTCATCTTATTATAAAATACACAAAGGGAGACAAACAGGTCAAAGCAATGGGAATGTGTACATCTTTTCCATTCGTCACCACTCACCTCTTGCCGTAACCTGCAAGAAGACTCGTCCCCCTATCGATGAATGTTATGTGCGAAAATACGACAAACCAATCAGAATGCGTGTATGATTTCAAGTTCTTCGTCAAAGAATCCCTCAGAAATAATTTTTGATTTTACATATGTCTTGCATCTAAAAAATACCCAAGGCACAGTTAAAGTGTGTTCAATCATACTGTATAATTCCGCATGTCCAGATGTGCTTTAAATTGCATCTGAAATATATTTAATATATGGGGAAATATATGTGAACCATAACGCGACGATTTGACAATTATTTTAGGTATGCCCGTTTGCGGTAAGACGGAACCCGGTCGCAAAAATGGCCATGAGACAGGCACAAGTCGCTATTCAGCTTGTCCCGGAATAACACGAGTTGGTCACGAATGCATCTTTTCATAAAACACACAAGGGGAGACAACCAGGTCAGAGCCGATGTCCCTACATAAATTTTGCTGATGCTATTAGAGTTTTGTACAAAGCATAACTTTGAGAGTAAGTAAACAGAGGTCATCAGCAATGTGTGGTTGATCAGATGAGATTTCAAAGGAATCACATGACACTGATACGGTTACCGGTACATAAAATTTTAGACTGAAGAGTAGAAAATGTTTATCTCCAAAATATTATATCCAAACTCACGACTTGAAAGAAGAAACTACAGCAGATTAAACTATAGGAACCTATTTTTTTTATGGGTAAATGTTAAGAACCAGATTATCACCCAAACTTTGAAGTCATCTGGCCAAGGCCACTCGTGAAAATATCTCTTCCCCCTGCCCCGTCACTCGATGAGAAACATGACATTTCATGCAACACATGGTATATCCTCTATTTCTGTCTATATGTTTACAAGGAATTAGCACTGGCATTATGTTGTGATTAAACTTTAAGTAGTGGCATTGTTAGTTTTTTCACTGTTTTTACAAGGACTGGGTAGGAAATTAACTAAAAACCAAAAATGTCCATTGGGCTAGAAGGATTTACTTTCTGCTCGCCTTGCAAATGGTTACTAGTCCTTATGAAATAAGAGGACACCTAATTTTCAATCTTTAATGTGCTATAAAATACATTCAGATATTAACTGAGCCAGAAAACGTGCTGGCTTTGTGATGCAGTTTTTACTGCAAAAAAACATTTACAGAATGTGTCAAAGAACATACAGGCCCTACAGGCTACTGGAATTTTAATTTTATTAGACCAAGGTATTTCCTCTTGCCTCGGGCCTATGGGTGAGCGTTAATTTCCATCCCTGCAAGACACATAATTTGTTTTACTATTTTGATTCATTTTGGGGGGCTGTTTGTATTCTACATTTTATGCCTTAAAATTTGTTATGTGCAAAACAATATTTAAAAATCTGTTTCAGCTAGAGATAGTATCAATTCATATTCAGTGAGAGAAATTAAGTCCAAAGTCAAGGGATCCTTGTCATAACCCTATTTTCAAAAGGTAAATTCAGATATCATAGGAAAAGGCCTCAAGGGCACTCTAAATTTCAGAATGATAATACTGTAAAAATGTATTTCAATTAACCAACGCATCAATATATCAAATGATCACTCCAGCTTACTCAAACATTGATATTTATAATCTGAATTAATGATGAATAAACAACCATATTTTCACACATCTCTGAAGAAAGTCAATTTTTAAGCACTGATTTAATAACAATCTACACAAATATCTACAAACTGTTTCCATACATTCCAAGGTTAAAGTTATCAGTTTCCGCAAGTACAGCACTAATCCCTGGATAATCCCTCCCACTGATAGGACATAAACAAATACCATGCTGCTTGTGACCCTGTCTTGACCTCTGTCTCCATGTTATTTACACGAGACAGATAATCAGATTAGACGTAGCAAAAATCACAAGGACCACCAGTATTTGAGCTGTAACAAGACAGAGGCTTACAGTTTCATGTATTCATGGTATTCATTGCTCGGGACAACACACTCCTTATGACAGGCTGTCATAACTGTCTGGGGATGATTGGTACAGGTTCCTCATGTCTTTGTGTTGTCAGAGTTTAACTACATGAATCTGAACTGCATGGATTGGGGCTAACACTGTACATAAAACCTACTACATTTCTATCTTGAGAAAAACATCTGATGAGTGGCCATCTGTGACGATGTGTTCTACATGAAATAGATTCCCTCTACAGAATTCATCAACACACTCTGAGGCCTCTGGTTGGGAATTTAACCATAACGAATACAAGGTCAAAATGATCTTTGAAACGATGGCATATAATTTATAGTAGGTCAAGATTAAAAATGACTAAGGCCTTTGGACCTATGGCATATTGTAGGTAACAAAATAAGGCCCTTGGATTTTTGGTATAAAAACAAGTAACAATTAAGGCCATTGGAGCTACAACATGTAACAGGTCAAAATTTAAGTCTTTGTAACCAGAGATAATTCTCATAATAAAGACCTTTGGAGCTATAGATGATAAATGTCAAAATTAAGGCCTTTGTAACTGGAGATAAATCCATATTGAAGACCTTTTGAGCTATAGATGATGATACATGTCAAAATTAAGGCCTTTTTAACTATAGATAATTGTTAAAATAAAGACATTTGGTTCTTCAGATGATACATGTCAAAATTAAGGCCTTTGTAACTAGAGATAATTGTTAAAATAAAGACATTTGGTTCTTCAGATGATACATGTCAAAATTAAGGCCTTTGGAGCTTTATTGTGTCAAGATGAGATGATCATATTCCATCCCAGAGCTGTGTCTGGACAGTTAAATATAGTCGAAGTGAGGGTCAGAGTGTGTATTATGTTAATAATTTACCCAAACAAACCGATGATAAACAACAAAAACAGATTTGTATAAAATATTGAACAAAACCATATTTCTATGAATGAATCAATAGGAATATAGGCAGGACGACAGGATAGTTATTGACTCGAAACATGCATAAAGCAACTTCAACTAATCAATTCAAACTATAGATAAACAATAAAGTCAATACCTGGTGACCCAGTCAACACACAAGACTATCAAGCAGCATGTTACCCTGTCAACTAAAAACTGGTTTTGTTTGTCTCTGAAGTCCAGTAAAACAACATGTGCTTTTGGACTCCAGACTGACCCAATCTGAAGCCCCTGCCCATTTATTTCGAGTATTCTGCATAACTCTTCTGTATTTTATACCACTGAAGTAAACAGAATCAAAGCATTCAAAGATTAACTCTGAACTTACCTGTCATTTAAAAGCAGGGTTTAATTGCCACATGGCTAAACAAAGTGAAATAAACAACAACCCCAAAATACCTGAATACCCTGTTTTGGATGGGCTGCATAAGGAACCACTATATATTTGGGGGGCTTAGACTCTTTTAATCCTTAACATTCACCTTCCATGTTCCAACTGAGGCAGTTGACGAAGCATTCTGTTTCAATAGTCGCAGTCTTGTACCAACGATAGTCTAGTTTCTGTTGACAAAAAAAGAACATGTATTACATCAGTGAGCTACAGCCAGGGAAGAACATACTTGTGGATGTTAGTTCTCATTGTGACAGTAGGCATGGTAGATGACTCACTTACTAAGACAGACATGAATCAATGAAATATTTGGATGCAATCTTTGAATGTGAAGGGTGTTGACAATATGTTCATTTAAAAGTATAACTATCATGCTATTGCAAATAAAAAAAGTCTAATTTTGAAAACAATTACAAGAAATTCAATACAACAATACAAATGCATAAATATGCAATTAACATGATTAATTAAGGAATTAAAATCAAGCCAATCATCCTTGATGTGTGCACAAATGAAATGAAAGGACTAATTTTAGATTCTGACCGAGTTGCACAAAGACAATTTAACAGATGACACTAGAGAAAGTGATGTGACATTTATTTTCTTTCATCTTTATGACATTGAATTTGACCTTCCCCTTTGTACAATGTCACGCCACAACTGCAAGACGGTCGGTGCAGCCGCATGCATAAATCTGCAGCTGTGACTGTGAACGCACACTTCACACAGTTATCCTTACACCTGGCGACATGGAGACCAATACAAAATATTGCACATGTCACAACACTACAAAAAGCTGTTTTTCCGAAACACACAAATTTGTCAATATACTACTCAAAGTTTACTGAGGAGCAGGTTTTGATGTTATCCACAAATCATCCAACAAATAAAAACAATCCGGTATACAATGAAAGGGTAAAACCCATAGGACCTCAATTTCATGATGAACGGACAGAGGCATGCAGTCATGAGCACAAAGTGCACAAGGTGCTTGACAACCTGTGTTTGGATGTATCGTGACAGAATGGCATCACATGGATCACATACACACAACTGAAAGTTGTTTCTTTCAACAATGGATTCCATTTCGTGACTTTTGTTGTTTTATTCTTGATCAGATACTCTCATTTTGAAGGGTGATCAGACTGATTATTGGTCAGATGTTGTTTGTTGGCATTGAGTGGCACACGACAACAGACTTTTGTTCATTAAACATGTCTTCATGCAATATTGTCTTTAGCTATTTCAACAGCTAGATGTATTACCTGTGGTGATCCTAAGCAAATTTTGAGTAGTATATGATAACACAGGGATTTATCAGACAATAGTCAGCTTCAAGTCTGCAGTCAATGTCAGTAAAAATACCCAAATGAAATATATAAAGTACCCAGTTGAAGTTTATATAGTTGTAACTAATGTTATGGCTTCGTAGAGGTGACTTGTATTGCACTGATTACAGGACCAATAGAGATGAAGAGGCTTTAATGCTTGGTTTTACACCATTGCATTCAACATAACCTCTGCATTAAATGTGTTAAAGAGATAAGAGCTTTAGAAAGAATATAATTAATTACATCGTCCCAATTTGACTGCCAAGGGCACTTAGATTGGAATCCTAGATAAATCATTCACCATCTGCTTTGATCACATTGTGAACTACAGCACAGGATGTAAAGTTATCACAAACATAATTGCCTGTGTTGTCAACAAGGGCAACTTATCAGTTGGTAAGATGAGCCAAAACTACATATATTGTTGATTTTGATAGTGAACAATAAGAGACAATGTCCACTCTTGCAGTTAGCAAATGACTTTTCCTCAATATCACTGTCAGTGCCACTTGGTAACAAATTTGCTTTAGGCATGTTAGGCAAGGAAGGTATATGATAAAAGTCTGGTTGACCACAATCTTGTAACATTGTAAGATAAAAAAGGACCTAAAACCTGAATTTGGTTGCCGACTTTGCAACAACGTTTTGTGATTAATGTCACCCATATTTCATGCTTTCAATAACTTGAAACTATCCTACAGTGAAAACTGCTGAAAATAAATAAACGGGGGAAAAAAACAATAAAAGCTCCCTATTTTCAGCCGGTTGAATGAAGTTTCACTTGGATCAAGTGAGATGTGAGATTGGATTACCATGTTTACATCACTTAATCAATAAGTCATTGATTCACCAACTTCACAGTGCTTCACACAGTGACAACACATCCACATGTTTATCAATAACCTTGTCCACACAAGCCATAACCTCTCGGAATACTCTCTGTTGTTATAACTGATTAATGGATGATTATCATGATTATATGGAACAAAATAATGACAACTTGTGAAATATCTAATACCTTAAATATAGAAGAGAGTGAGTTGATATTGTTTTGTGCTGATGTAAGTCTAGCCATCAGTGAGGGAGTTTGGCTTGACGCCACTAGTCTTGGGTGCTTACAGTTACAGGTATGGTGCTGACAAAGCTTAATCACAATCAGGGCACATCTGGGATTCAAACCCACAACGATCAGATTCTGCCATTGCTAAGGGAGGGAACTCTACACAGCGAAGTGCAGCACCTTAATCACTATACTACCAACATGATCTATATATGTGAAAAAGTAAGCGTGTGATCTGTGAAGGGAGTTTTACACAAGAAAGCAACATTGTTATTCCCAGCAACCGGCAGGCGTACTAATCAGCACGAAGCTTACCAGTCTACAGACAACAATTGAACCATGACACCAGGATATACCAACACACTAAACCAGCAAGTACACTTGAGCATCTGTCTTCCAAGACAGTCGCTTGTCCATGTCTATTCTCAGTGATCATTGGTGCCTGAGTCTAGTAAACTTTCTTTAGGTCAAGCAAGTTCACATAAATAACAGTCAGATTAAAATAAACTCAAGTTGATATGAAGTCAAAAGTTTGGGCACACAGACTGTACAAATGGTAAATAGATGGGTGTTGCATATAACAAAAAATGAAAATTATCCTCAAATAAGTTAAAACTGGTTATTATGAAACAAATAAAAGTGAATCTGGTGTAAGAATAGGTAAAATATTTCCACCTGGTATGTACATACACAACAATGCTATGAATGACAGTTAACAGGGCTAAAGATTGAAGTCTCTCATTATGGAAAGGTACAGATACTGCAGTGCACACATTGCAGGGGTAAGCTGTTTTCAGGGGTTAAAATTCCACTGCATTCAGACCTGGTCACAAACTCCTGCATAGAAGAAACATAGACATGCTGTTGATCCAAAACAGTGTTTTTGACATGGATGCTGTTTAGTTAACACTAATTAATTTAACCCCTGAAATTGCTGAAGTGTTGATAACAAGTTCGCTGCTCCAACATCAAAATGAGCACTTCTAACAAAGACGAGCAATGTCACTTCAAATGTAACTTCTGAATAAACAACAGATGAAGACATTTTCAAGTAGAAAGATATCAATTTATCCTTTTCAATTCCAGCCTAATGTTGCTGCAAATATTTTATTGTTTGTCTGATTGTTGTTGTTTACTTTCATACTCAGTAATATTCCAGCCATATGAAGGCGGACCGTAAATAATCAAGTGTGAACCAGACACACCATTGACTGATATAATGAGCAATGTCTCACCATGTCAGAGTATGTTGTCATGCCATCTATCACGTTACAAAATCTGAATTGGTTAAAATTAAAACCTTTCTACTTGTACAGCAAAACAGTCATCAAGAAATCACTACAAGAATGGGCATTTGGAAACCTCTGTGTCAAATAACACTTGGGTATTCAAAATAACGACAATTAAGTTATAAAATGAAACCTCTCGGACTAATGTTGTGAAAATTAAACTCCAAAAGTGTTCAAATAACTCACAAACAGTAAGTTTTTTCAAATTAACATTTGCATGCTATGTCTTGAATCATAACAGCAGTGTGACTCAAATGTGTCAAATGTGTGAAAAGATCCTGATTCCAACTGATTTCCTCAGAGACGGTGCAGATGCACTTCCAAGTTGCATCATAGTGAGTGAGTGAGTGAGTGAGTGAGTGAGTGAGTGAGTGGGATTTTACACCACAGTATTCCATATATATCCCAATGTGTCAGCTTAATGCGGGAGGAAAGACCAAAGTGATTCAGGTCTCCGATATTAACCACTTTGGTGAAACCCACGAGCCTGGGCATGGTGCTGAGAAACTTAGAAAAACAAATGGGGCAAACCAGGATTTGAACTCATGGTCTGGTGTGCCCATGGGACGCAAGCAACTCTACACAGCGAATTGCGGCATCTTAGATGACTGGGCCACCCTGTACCTCAAACTACATCCGAAGGAATGAAATCTCAGAGTTTTGTTTCTTGTTGACAAGAATTGGACGCTTTAATGAGTTTTAGATATAAATGTTCATACATGTCTCTAATCCAAAATTAGCAAGTTCATAAAAGAAACACTAGTTGCCAGTTACATATTAATTTCAATGTGTTACTTGCATGGGCCTATAACTAGTAAAAGGCCTCTTAAGCATTGTCCTGTAGCAACATTCAACATAGAATACCCAAACTGTATCATCATGATAATGTTACCTTATGTACTTATTATATTGAAAAAGACATATATGAAAAATAAAATATCTCTTTTATATAGAGTAAAAATATTATTTAGTGGTAATTGTATTGTTAATGCTGGTGTGTGTTGGCTGGGTTCATATATATATGGGATGGCAGCAGAAAGCAGTGTTGCATTAAGTCATTGTGGTCATGTTTAAACTGCTCTTGGTCCCTTGTCATTGCTCCATCATCTCTATAATTACTTGGGTTTTTTAAGTGTTTTTTTTTTTGCAATATTCCAGCTGTAATACAGCGGCCGGGAAATAAAGGGATTTGGGCCAGACAAACAAGTGGTTGATATTATGAGCAATGTCAGGTGTAGTCAATAAAACACAACACACAAAGAGAGTGGTCTTGAAGCACCTTTGTATGTCTAAATATTATCACACATAACAGCTAAGAGTGAGTGAGTATGGTTTCACGCCGCTTTTAGCAATATTCCAGCAAAATCATGGCGAGGGGCACCAGAAATGGGCTTCACACATTGTACCCATGTAGGGAATCGAACCCGGGTCTTCAGTGTGACGAGGGAACGCTTTAACCACTAGGCTACCCGACCGCCCCGTTAAGCTTAGAAGGGTTCAAGCAATATTCATGCAATGTACTTTACTGTGTCAAGTTTAATCAGATGCAATTCTACATGCAGTATATTAAAAGATCATAAGACTAAGAAAAAAAGAGTAATTACACAATAAAGAACTTGCATAAATCCTTTAAATGTCGCATTTAACGACAATATTGAAAAATATTGGAAAAAGAGAGAAATCAACTGTTATGTCTCTGTTTCAGTCGATTTGATTATACATTAAATGAGAGTTTGCAAAAATTATCTCGGTAGGCTAAATATGATTAATATTGTACAGTAGTGATTTCTTGATGGGAGCACATGAACATTGTAAAGACACATGCTAACGCAGGAAAACCAGGAAAACAAACACACAAACCTTTGTATGTCCCTGAAGTAAAAGAACAAACACAGTAACATGGTGTAGTGTTAGAACTAGTGTACAAACCTATTTAAGGCCAGACTCCTTTCTATAGTTTACAGATTATTGTGAAAAAAAAAAATAGAATAAAAATACTTGAGATTTTTATTCACAAATTTATCAAAATATGTTGCCCTGTGTGCAGTGATGGTAGAGTTGGTCTGGTTGTCCTTCCATTTAAATATATAACATGCAAATTATTTTATTTTATAGGTTTGACATGGTCAGTGGATCTGTAAACCAATTTCTAAAAAGGAGTCTAACCTAACCATTTCAATACACCATTTCAGCTAATCAAAACCACAATCACTATAAGTAACTGATAGAGAAACCTCTTATGCTTTAAAGGTAATTCAGTGACAAATGCATTCCACCACAAACTTAGGATCTTAACAATAGACACATTATGCCAAAACGTAAGGACCTTTTGCACATATATACCAGTAAACATTCCTTATGTCACATTTATTATATACTGTATTACTCATGCTTGTACTTTCTAGCTATCTACAACATTTATTGGTTTCAAAATCAGTTTAAAAGCACATATACAAGTAATGTTCAAATTCTCAATTGTCACCGATGCTAACTTGGTGAGGACTTGAAAGAAAAACTTTTACAGCATCTGGTACAGCAGGAAGTGATCAGAACAGTAAAGTTATCATGCTTTTCAATATCCCCTTGTTTCTGTCATTTAGTCTACGACGGTGAAATCTCACGAACTGAAACTCCATCACCTCATTATGCATAAGTATTTAAGATCTAAACAACTACAACCAAATCCAGAATATTCACTGCATGAGATTATTGGTCAGTATTGATGATGTATGACGGTCTGGCTTGGACATTAGTTTGTTAACAAGTCCACATAAATGATCTGTAACCGAATTGCTTTCTACTTAACGGTAAAAGTGGTAGTCCACAAGGAAATGTCACTAGTCCTTCCTGAATTTTATTAGTCTCGGATGAGTGGTATTAATTTCGAACCCTGAAGGCCTATGTGATTATCCCCCAAGCAACAAAGCTTCACATTAACGATTGGGTTAGTGAACAGTGCATGATTACACGACCAAAATGTAATAGCCATCTCATAAACATTGTTCACATTGTCAGAAGACAACCTGATTGACGATCATTTCGTAACTATCCCCGGTCCATTCCCAATTTCAATGAATAAATTATGTTTTGAAATCAAATTTGTTTATCATACTAACTACACCTTCTACCAAACATACATCTACATATTCTGGCACAATCATTTCCATATTGGAGTGTCAAAAGTACCAAACTTGTAGTGCTAATGGCATCTTCCCGAGGCAAGGGAGTTAACTGCCTAAAAAAGTTCAATTTCCACCCTTGCCGAACTAAGCTTCAATTCCAGAGTAATGTTTTGGCTGGACTACCAAGTCTGCATAGACCAATCACAATCGCATAAAGAACTAAGTTAAAAAACAACATGGATCTTAACGTGCGGATTTCCGTCGACTGCAGGATTTGAAAGCATCAACAAAGCTTAATAGAGCGTCAACAGATATTTTCCAAATATTTTCATGTTATTAATCAAGGTGCTCCAGTTATTTGATGCACTTCGCAAGGTAAGGCCCTATTATTGCAGGACCGCCTCCATGGTCTAATGGTAGAGCGTCCGCCCGGAGAGCGGAAGGCCCGGGGTTCGATCCCCAGCCGCGTCATACCAAAAGACGTTAATGATGGTACTTGTTGTGACCCTGTCTGGCGCTCGGCATTAAGGAGCTAAAACAAGGACTGGTCGGCTTGGAGTCAGTATACTGTGTCTGAGTGGGGTATTCATGTTAAACTACGGCATGGTATCTCAGTGTGCTAGCACTATAAATCGGCATCAGTCCGGACTTGTACAAGCAGCCACACACACACACACATACATGCACGTCGCTATATAAGTGTAAATAATCTTGGACGCGACGTTAAACCCCATTTCACCTCACCTGATCTATTATTGCAGTATAGTTTGTGATTATCGATCCAATCGTCTTGACTGTGAGCCGCCATTTTGTATGAAGCAAATGCAAGTGATATTATGAGAGGTGGAATCTGATTGGTCAACAGAAGGGGCATAGAAGGGACTTAACTCGTAATAGCCACTGGCGGCACTACGATCGAGCCATGAAATTCCAGCACAGTTCGGCAGGAGTGGAAACTGGGCTTTTAAGAGTCAGTCAATGCCCTTGCCTCGGAGAAATGTGCTACTGGCCCATGCAAGTAAGTTTGTGTCTTTTGAAGTGATTCTAGATAACGTTGTGTTGAACGTCAAATAAGCCAGAAATGTCATCCATGCAAATATGTTTACACGTAGCATTGTCAGTGTTTGAAATTTGGGATCCTTATCAGTCTCATTGATATCATATCTACAACACCTCAGTGCATGATGATCTGACAAACCCTCTATAGGAGATGAATCTTTGCCAACCATTCTAAACAAAGGGTCTTGAGTTTTTTATCCAATCAGATATTAGCTTAATAAAATGATTCGGCTTTAGTTCCTTCCCATCTTGATTGCAAACTTTTTATCTTTACCCACCCAAAACAAAAAATCTCTTGACAAAAAGCAGTTTTGGGTGTACATGCCATAGCATTCACAAACCACATGGGGTATAAATTATCAACAATATAATAGCATGGCCTTTATTATTTTCCATTTGGAACTACCCATTTGTTTTCAAGACAATGAAATCAGATATGATTCTGTTTATTCCTAAAATTGCTCATTCATTCAGAATTTGAAGCCTCAACACAGAATGAATGACACAACCTCCTACTGTTTAGCAAATCATCATTCAGAGACGTAAGAGGTCTGATTTTACTGAGACTGGGATCCTTGTCTAAATGACAAACCTGAAATATTTTGGGGGTCGTCTAATTCAAATTCTAAAGCCTTATTTCTAACACTGATTATGATCTTCAATTGTTTCAACAGTGCACTTTAGATGAACACAGGTTAATGCCATGGGATGCCTATATTTCCCATGTCTTCATAAGGTTTAACATGAAACTGTTTCTCTAAATAGTTATATAATACTTGAAGCTACTTACATGCTGACTTTCATGAATCAGTGGAGTTGGTTCAAATATATGGACTTTCCTGCCATAGCTGGCTGCAATCTGAAAAGAAACAATAAGATGAGTAACCAAGGAGAGAGCGCTAAGCTTCAGCAATATTCCAGCTCCCGGTATGTCTTCTCACATTGTAGCCGTGGGAAACTGCCCAGGGCCACAGGGGTGATGAGGGCATGCTTTGCCCACTAGGCTAACCCACAGTGCACTGCTACAAAAAGCTACGAGAAATTACGGATCATTTGTGCCAATATCTTTACAGTGAATGAAGGGTGAAGCCCAAAGCCCTTGTCAGGGACTTGCAACACCACTTCAAACAGAATTTCACTTATATCACAGCATGTCAGCAGGATGTGGGAGGAAAGCCAGAAGTGATGCAGGTATTACACATTTACCAATTTGGTGAAACCCACATGGTCTGGTGTTGACAAAACTTGAAATATAATCCACTGTTATGATACCTGTACCAAAGCACAAAAATTAACACAGAAGCTTTAGAGAATCTTTGCACCTCTACATATTCTTTTGAAACTAAGTTACCTGATTCTTAAACATGTTCAAAATGAGTGAAGAATTTCCCTACCTTGCCAGTGTCTGTTGAGCAGTCAATGCAGCTGACTTTGATGTTGCCATGGGAGACACCGGGGATGATCTGTACCCGCTCAAAGTTGCTGGCTAGTATGACGATGTTGCACCCTGCAGCATATGCCTGAAAAAAAAAAGAAGTTTTTAATAAGAATATTAAGATTAATAGTTTTCAGAATATGACTGACCCATAATGTATAAACATAAAAAAATTACAGTTCAACAATCATTACAAAATTGAAAAAATAATTTTTTGCTCTCATATACAGGAATGGAACCTTTTTATTTATGCAAAACAAGATTTCTAATTTTAAATCCACAGAGGTAAATTATAATTACTCTCACAGAAAGATATACACATGATCCAATGAAAACTTGCTGCCATGTGCCCTATTTAACTGGAACCAAACAATTCTTTCCGACTGTTTACGGGTGAACATTGTCATAGGACCTTAAAATTTCCCCACTTATTTAAGTGTATTGTCTTGGAACAGCAACTCTAACTTTCAAAATCCAAGTAACTATACATACATTATTTCAATAATAATAATAATAATAATAATAATAATAATGTCTTTCTAAAAAGATACTTTAATCATGTTATTCAAAATGAAACTTACGTCAATACGAATTTGAACAGTGCAAAGATAAATTTTTATATGCACAGGTGATCTACTAGACGAGTTGCCAGTGCAAATCCCAAGGTAATGGAGGATCTACACCAGTCTAGCTTTGACTGACAACTTTCCTCATTGTGGAGCAATAAAGTCCCTTCCTTCAGCTCGTACTGAACCCACACAGACAGATCAGTGGCTAATTTCAACAAGGGGAGACTAACACTGTGACCATAATACACACGTACTGCACAATTTCCCACTTGGCTGCTTAATAATAAGAAGAGAAAGGGCCTTCTCCCACAACCAAACTGGTGGCTTCTATGACACAATTAGGCTCCATTACTGAGCGGAAGTGAAGATGGCAAGAAGGAAAACGAGAGAGGAGAAATGGCCTTGGGTTAAACAAGACCGTAACTTATTAATGACCAGCCAAAATAATAGTATTGATCTTTCATACCTTGTCCAACAGCCTCCGTGAACGTATACCACGCATATTGATTTTGAAAATGACTGAGCTCAAATAGTCATTAGCGAAGTTCAAATTAACAATGATTAATGCAAGCCTATTACTTGTCTTGAATACCACCTTTTCATCAAAGGTTAAAGCTGCGGGTATTTGCTTTAAAGAATTGGAACCAAACAAATCAATTGTGACTTCAATACTACTAATTTTCAAGTGATTCCTATCAGCTGTTCTGTGCAGACTGAGAACCACTTCTTCAAGCACCAGAGGAGCTACAACTGCAAACACCTTCAGTGAGTGAGTGAGTGAGTGAGTTGGGTTTAACGCCGCATTTAACAATATTCCAGTTATATCACGGCGTGTCAGCTTAATGTGGGAGGAAAGCCCGAAGTGATGCTGGTCTCAGACATTTACCACTTCGGTGAAACCCACGAGCACGGGTATGGTGCTGACAAACCTAGAAACATAATCGGGTTTCTGGCGTGCCAAAGGGACGCAACTCTGCACAGCAAATCGCGGCACCTTAGACGACTGGGCCACCCGTGCCCCCCAAACACCTTCAGACCACATCCTAATTTGTGGCACAACGAAAGAACAGAGCTCACAAAGTTGCCAAAGGTGAATAAAGCGTATTTATCTGGAAACAATTTGATTTGATGTTGAAAAGTACATGTCATGTTCAATTTCAGCCACACAACTTTGTTTATCTTTATATCAAACAGAAAGGAGGAACCAATTTTGAGCAAGGAAGTGAATTTTTTTTTTCTTCAGCCACCAATGTACAGCTACATCACAGCTCCATCCAGCTGAAATGGATAGAATTATCAAACAGCCCTCATGTTATCAAAAATGAGCCGGCCACTGTAACTTGATAATGCCCTCATATCACGCTCGTTGTTAGGTGATATCATAGGATAGCGATAGCTGACGTCCGTTCAATAGTGGCGTCATCTGGTTTGTTCTATGACATTTCCATATTTGTGAAAGTGGGTCAGTGACATTCGTGTTGATTGCAGTAAATGCTTCAAAACCTATTTTGTTGTTTCTTATTATTTGATAACAAATTCCATCCATTTTAGCTATAATAACAGTAACGCTATTTTTCAGGGCATTATCATTTGCAGAAGCCCTCGGTCTTTTCAACTGGCCTACTGCGTCTGGCAGTTAATCGAAGCATATTTTTTTAATGAGTAAACATTATGTTGATCTTTTTTTGTTCCATTTATAAACTTCAATTCATACACTTGCTTCCTAATTCAAAATTTAGCATCATACAATATATCGTGGTGCATATCACAATACACACTTATGCATCGTAAGATATCGTGATATTCATAAAACCTCCAATACCCTTCACTAATTAACACAAACATCTACTGAAAATAATTTTGCAAAAAAACAAATTTGGGCTGGTAGACTTTTTGGCAAAGGCAGATGAATAAATCTCAGACCTTCTTGTGGAGATATATGATCAAGTAGAACTGACAAAATGCTACTGATCAGGGCTCTGATTATTCATATCAGTTCCATCCATATGCCTACACAATCTGTAGACAATAGATGACATACTCGATTAGGTCCTCTTTCCCTCATAATGACAAATGAGGTGAGGTGAAATTGGGTTTAACGTCGCGTCCAAGATTATTGCACTTATATAGCGACGTGCGTGCACGTGTATGTGTGTGTGTGGCTGCTTGTACTAGTCCGGACTGATGCCGATTTATAGTGCTAGCTCACTGAGATACCATGCCGCAGTTTAACATGAATACCCCACTCAGACACAGCATACTGACTCCGAGCCGACCAGTCCTTGTTTTAGCCCCTTAATGCCGAGCGCCAGACAGGGTAACAACAAGTACAATCTTTTAACGTCTTTTTGTATGACGCGGCCCGGGATCGAACCCTGGACCTTCCGCTCTCCGGGCGGACGCTCTACCACAAGACCACGGAGGCGGTCTAATGACAAATGAGCCCTCCGCCGCTGCACTTTAAAACAAAAGTTCACACAGAGCCTGAAGCACAATACACATGATGAGGGCCATCACACATCAGTGCGTTTCAAACAATCACGAATACAAAAATCAAACTAAAAGCTGTCCACGCTGACAAAGTATAGTCATAATTGATTTTTGGAAGATAAAAATAAGTCAATACAACATGTAGAAGAAGGGAAGTAACCACCATTTCTTTCAATCAATGTCTTCTAATCTATACTTCACTTTACAAGAAATACTTTACACATTGATTTGATATTGATTTCAGCCACTAACCCTATTTTTAAGAAAGACCTAACTGAAGTCATTTGCAATGTTCATACTCTGAAGGTCTGTGTCATGATTACCTCTATTGACCTTGACCTCATGAAAGAAGTAAAATAAAAACTGTCCAGATTGATATTCCATCTCCAGAAGTCATGTCAAGTCTGGTCAAAATATTATCATCAAGGGTCACGTTCTACCAATTTCATTATCAGTGACCTTGACATCTATTTTCTATCTGAATGATCAACAATCTCAACAATCTAACCAGTCCTTGTTTTAGACCCTTTATGCCGAGCGCCAGACAGGGTAACAACAAGTACCATCTTTTCACGTCTTTTGGTATGACGTGGCAGGGATCAAACCCCGACCTTCCGCTCTCTGGGCGGACGCTCTACCACTAGATCACGGAGGCGGTCCTCAAGGCTAACAACAAATACAACAAATATAAAGTCTCTGTACCTTGATGTACCAAGTTGTTGAATCACTGTTGGTAGGACTTGTTATAAGTCTTGACAGTGATGTACTGTATCTCACTCTATGCCCAAAACTTTTGAGACAACAGGTCGGTTAGTAACATCATTTTCAGTTGATTGTGCTGTTTTGTGCTGCGGGCACTTAAGATATGACCAATAGTCCCACTCCAAGACCCGAACATAGAGCAAGGACTAAGGCTTACAAAAAATAAAAGAATTGGTTGTCAAGCAATGGCCTTTTTTTTTATTGTTCTTAAGTATTGTAGCATTTTACTGTCAGGGTTGTGTGTTCAAGATGCGGAATATTTAAAGATATGTTGCTGTTTTTTAAAATGGAAAAAAAAAATGTGCAGCGGACTTACCGGAAATGATAATGCGGGGAGTGCATGAGAACCAAGACTTTAATCATTTTTAGCCTAAATTAACTCTTCAACAGAAACTATTATATTGTAAAACAGGTCCTTGGAGTGGTATCCCATTGTGAAGTTTTTTGGATTCACATCTGTCAGTGTCCTAACAAACAGGAACAAACACCAAGGATTGATCTGCTGTCTTTCATCCATTTCTTATGTCCCCGGTACATGACAGGCAAGTTCATGTACATTTCATGTCTGAGACGAAGAAATAAAATTGTGCTCTCTTTGTAATAACATGTTACTTGTCTCTGATAGAACCCAATGCCACACAGACCCACCAACATCTTGTGCACATCATTGGGAACAAACCAATTTAGTAATGATTGTTTTCCTCTCAATGGGTCTTGTGGGAGTTGTAACGCTACAGTATCAATCAGTGCATGTGTGGTCATCATGTTTAGTTCCCCTGTGATTAGGGACCTAATAATTTTTCTGGATGCTCTCTGGCCATGTGTACCAAATCAAGTATGAAATTCCCTCAAATCAATCAAATTTGTAGTTGGAGTAACAAATGTCACACATTAAGAAATGTGCAGGGATGTATTCACATCTATGAATCCAACAATGTCGACTGAATCAATAGGCTTGCCATCCCTTGAGTCAAGTAACAAAAGTCACAAGACAACATCACTCATCCAAACCATGTACATATTTATCTTAAAATTATAGATTGAGAGGGTACAAGGCCTATGAAACTTGTGCCAAATTCTATCGCTGCTACATTTAAATACTATAGAAGCAACCGTAAGGATCCCCATTAAGCATGTTAAGTTTGAACACTGAATAGGCAACTTATCTCTATACGGTATTCTACCACAGGGGCCACTCTTGGAATTTTCTGACACGGGCCTTTTAAGTGAAAATTTCAAATATTCCAGGGGTACACCCACACTT